TCTCTCTCTCTCTTAGAAGATGACATTATTACCAAATCATTGACATTTGGCCCAAAACGTGCGGTTACAACTAGATATTGAGCGTGAACTGAATATTCTGAACAACACAATTAATGCCATTTACAATTTATATGATTATAATTAAATAGATTAAAGTATGCAGGATCCGTTCCCTCGTGGTTGGTGGACTGTCAGTAAGTCATTTTCATAAAATGGTTTGGTGTCCAGCAGCTTTGCTGCATTTTCTTGTTGCATTTGTGATTTATATAACGACAGCACCGGTGCATACATAAAAAACTTAAGCGAACGCACCCAACACTGTTAACAAAACCCTGCCTTTTGCTAGCTCGATGTAAACATAAACGAGACTAGGTTTCCTGACGTCACGTCGAGAAGCACTCGGCTGTGAGTAGACGAACGCCGTGCAGGAAAGTCGAGGTGAGAAAATCATGTACAAAAAGCGTTTAGATCACAAATCAAATGACACATGTAACAAAATTCATTCAATGCTGATGTTTTCTGACTGTTATTTAACTTTAATTGAGTGGAAGTCTTATGCATTGGATGATCGGTTGTGAAATGTCGTCTTGACATTGAAGATCGGAACTATTGGCTGATTGGCATCGCAAGACATGAGTGAAAAAGTATCTTATTAGAAAAACTTTTTTACTTAATGATCTTGAAATTTTCAGAAGTGTAATTGGGCCACCATACAGTTATTATAATTCGGTGAACCAGGTACGATGAGTGATTACTCTTTTAGGCCTATACTATATGTTGCTTCTAGGCTAACACAGCACTACCTTGTTATACCATTACTACATTGTTATAGTGTGCGTCCAGGTGTTCAATGTTTATTTACATGTACACGAATCTTAGGTCTAGGATATCTGCTAGACTGCTACTTGACAACAATATATAGCAAGGCTCTGAAAATGCCGACCTTCCAATAATAAAGCTAGTGTGATCAAGTTTAATATTGTTCTGATTAAAATTGAAACAGTGAAATCTCTGATAAAATAGTATTGAAAACAGACAGTATTTTGTGAGAGGTTTTATAGATAAGTATAATATTGTGCAATTAAATCAAAGAATGATCCCTATCATCACTCCAAAATACTTGCTAACTTTATAAAATTTTCATGGGGGAGATAACACATGCTCAAATTAAAAGCATATAGTACATATATAAATAAGATGTGTACTGTATGTACACCCAAGGGAAAAAAGAACACATCTAAATGGCATCTATTAAGGTGTTCTTTCAGGCCAGACCATGGAAAATAGGAATAGTAAAGCACATTCACTAGCTGAAAATGTTCAGTGCTAGGGTCCAAAATCGAAAATCTCACTCAAAATTAGGAATAGTTGACAAGTCTCATTGATTGTCTCGATCATTACAACACTTATTTGTAAACATCAACAGGTTTGTCAAATCATTACTTAGATGTTAGGGGAAAAAGTAATATACATTACCATGCATGCTTCCACAAACCAATCAACCTTAAATGCATAAATAATTATGATTTGATAGCAGATACAACACACAAGACAATGCATATATTGTCATTTCATGATAGCATCGATTACACAGCAAAAGACTTTGACATTTCTCTGACTATGATAGCATGTCTGTAGGCAGCTGATGGGAATGATTGTCAGGTGGTATCCATGGCACTTCTCCTTTCTCCACCTTAACACCTGAAATTTTGAAAATCATGATCAGACCTATTTCGAAAAAAATGCACAAAAGATAATTATCTTCTTGTGTCTAATATCATTTAGGTTCAGTAAGAAGGTTAAATGATCCTTTCAGCCAGAACTTGGAAAAGAGGAATAGTTTAGCAAAATCACAATGATCAATTTTAGGGTCCAAAATCGGGAGTCTCGCTCAAAATTAGGAATAGTTGAAAAGTCTCATTGACTGTCTCGGCCATTACAACAGTTATTGTAAACATCAACAGTTTGTTTGTCATATATCATTACTTAGATGTAGGGGGGGGGGGGGGGGGGGGGGGGGGGGGGGGANATGACTGTCAGGTGGTATCCATGTAACTTCTCCTTTCTCCACCATAACACGGTTAACACCTGAAATTTTGAAAATCATGTTCAGACCTCTCGAAAAATCATTCACAAAGAACATTCTTGTGTCTAAAATATTTTAGGGTCAGAAAGAAGGTTAAATTATACTTGGCATGTACACCTATCAGATGGCCAGTAGTCAACCGTAACACAGCCAGTTGGATAATAATGTTAGTTTAAAAGATGTTGTTAATTTAACTATCTTTTTCTTAAACCTATGAAGATCCCTTTCTAAACATGTGTCAGTAATCTTTTATTATTTTCTGTAGTTTTCCTATAAAATGTCATACCTTTAATCAGTACTGTAATGAATCCAGCTCACCTTATTTTTTCCAATAAAATTCCAAAACATCCCAGACTTACCATTGGTACTAGCTACCACGGACTTAGATAATTCCGTTATACTACAATAGCCAAAACATGTTTGGATATAGGCACAACAATAAGGGTAGGTAGGCCTAGGTTCCCGGATATAACATTTATTTTGCCTTAGTGGACCCTGTAGATGTAATAAACACTCCAATTAGTGGTGGTGGGGCCAAGGTAGACAAATCTTTTGTTACATTGTCGAAAACAGCATGGTTGTTCCCTGGCCCTGGTTATAGTATTATCTGACTGATGTTAACTTTTGCCCACATGTTGTGCGACCACAATACCCAGGACAGTTTCTTGTTTTCATAGTCTTATACATTACATAATATTGAGATTTTAGCTGTCACTCAATGCAAGTTGTCTGTGTCTTGTTAGCTTGATTGTTGATTCTCCAAATTTTAGTTATTCTACTTTGAATTCAATTGTTTTTATGGAATACTAATATTTGTTCAAGCTACATTTAAACTCATATACAGTCACAAATAATGTTTACTCTTAGTTTTAGGTGTACATTGGTTTCTGACTTCTGTATAATGTACATTAGTTTGGGGAAAATATTTTTATGTTAATCATCATTGTACCTAGTACCCGTATGTTACTTTATCATGTATTAAATTACAGCCATACAGGTATTTGAGACAGGCCCTGTCAGAGGCAAACTTAGACAGGTACAGTTGTATTGAGATTTGCAAACCTGTTCATGTCTGTCTTGATTTTTTGAAATATTTGTTATATTATACTGACAAAATAAGCAAGTTATATAACAATTGCATGATTGTCTGATTAGTGATTTTGGTCTTATTCTTTTTAAAGTTATTTTATTTCTGATTTAAAAGATTGCACTTACATTTTGTATATATATTCTAAATTCAACAGATCAAAATTATTTAATAACATTTTTCATTTTCGCTCACTTAATCATCCAACAGATCTCAAACTTTATCTGTCCCTAGCACGTAGGATGTAAATCAAACATTACATTTTGTACCAGATTCAGTGGTGTTGTTGCTCAACATTTCTATTTTCACTTTATCTGTCCCTGTAAGTTGTGTTGTGCTGTGTACATGTATGTTTAGTGTTAAGACTGGTCAGAACAACATTATGGCTGGGAATGTTTTATTGGTCTTGTTTTGAGAGTCCTTCTCATTTCACATGTAGGTTGGTTTTGATCTAAATGAAAATAACAATATGCATGGGTTCCAGGCTGAATTTTGGAATTTGATAGTACAGGAGGGAACTTATAATATCTTAGAGATCTTTTTTCTAGACATTTTCTGGTTCCTAGTTGTGCATGTTTTCAGTTTCAATGAGAAAAAGAGCAACAAGGCAGATCTTTTGATTATGACCATTGAAGTCTTCAGTCTATTTCTCAGAAATTGTTTTTAAAAAAGATCTTCCCTAAAATTTTATAAGTAGATTCTTCCTGTTCCCTCAGATTTTACATACATCTTTTTTGATTTGGAGCTTCAATTTACGCTGGACTTGTTAAGAGGACACCTTCCTTGTTCACAATTTTTACACATTTACTCCTATAGTCAGTAGCTGAGCCTATAAGTCAAATAAACTCGCTTAGGATAAAGTTTTAGTTTCACATGTTTATTTGGTTTCCACAGATACATCATTGTGTAGGAGGTGAGATATGATAGTACAAAAATTCAATTCAGTGACAAAATGATGGTAAGTACATTAAACATGCATACATCATCAGTACAATTAAATGAATAATGAAAATTGTCACCTACAGAGTACGTTTTTGGTTGTGTTTTGGAATATTGTACATGTGTCGCCAACCAGTTTCAATGGGAAATTTCATATTAAGGTATATAAATACATGATGTTGATATCTGGATTTTTAGGAAAGGCAATGCTAGTATGGTTCAAGTTCAAGTTTCTTCTTAAAGCTGCCATAGAGTTCACCGTGAGATACCTTTTAAAAATCTGAATTCCATCTTTTAAAAAAAATAATCATTAGAACTTTTTTTGACATTGCTTTTCATATAATATAAATTTATCTATCGATTCCTTCAAAAGTATAAACATTTTTTTTAACTGTTACTGCTTGATGCATTTATTGTTGCCTGTCATTGATCTATCAGGTAATTAAAAAAGAAAAGAAAATATCAAACTTATGAAGAACTTGTGTAGGTTTTACTTAATTACAATGGTTTGTATGAAGATCCCTTTGGGATCTCTTGTATACCAGGGTATACAATTCAGTATTTCCCTCAGTAAACTATGTATACTTAACCCTTTAATACCAAAATTTCACAAGAAAAAATTGTGACAATATTATGAAATTCTACAGTACATGTAGTATATATATATAGGATTGTATGTAATGATTAATTTCTATACGTAATTCATGCCAATTATTATTGTGCTAAATAAACACCTTTTAAAGTAAGCGGAACCGAGTCCCATTTAGTATATCACTTGTACATGTATATATATCACTGCAATTTAGAATCTGAAATATACCCTTATAACTTTTTGCCTAGCAGAATTGTAATGGAATGGTTTCATAAGTCTAATAGATTCTCTCCATCATTTAAAATAATTAGGACTGTGAATTTCAAAGATATATTTTACATTACATGACATAACGGCAGTATTAATTCACCATAGAAAAGTTTAAAAGGATCGTGGCATTCAATTAGCTTTATCTATTGAAGAAGCATGGTCATACTTTCTAAGTAAAACTCAAGCAACACGGGGAATTTAATGCTACTATCAATACCTGTATCCTGTTTGGTAAAACTCAAGCATGAGGACTTTGTACCCTAGTTCAATTCTGACAGATATACTGATCATGAATAACTGTACATATTCATGTGACACACTGGTGTGTAACCCCCCCTCAGGTAAGTTTAACCCTTTCACCACTGTAGACCATAATGGACTCATCCAGATCAGTGCATGGTAGAGTCTACTAAAGTTACCTAGGGGTGAAAGGGTTAAAGCTAATGATAGTCCTGTTAGTATGTAATTCTATTGCTTTGTTTCCCAGCTAGTGTTATCCCCGACACTTTGTTCTCATTCATCAATAAAACTACCAGACACAGACAGACATATTGGTCCTCTTGTTCATTCTGTCACAGTTACAATGTGTACATCACATTTTAAAATGACAAGTTTGTCTTCTCATAAACGTTATACTAGGTGTCAAAATTTGAAAAGGAACAGAATAATTTAATATTAATTGATATCAAATGTCCTATCAGGAGTGTAATATGTATGTAATTTTAGTTAAAGTAATAGATTTTCTATTTTGATTTGCATCTATAGATTCAGTTTTGTATTTGCATTTGTTTTCCCATAATTCACATCTTACGAAAACCTTTTTATATGGTCAGACTCTGGGTGATATATATATAACCTGGATCATATTTTACAACTGAACATAGATCTGGGGTATTGATCAGTATTGTGCTGTCATTTACTGTATTATACATTGTATATATGTATACACTGGCCTGCTGGTACATGTACTGAACTGAAACATATAGGTATAGATACACTAGCTAGGATGTGTTTGGCAAATTTTAAAGTGTATCATTTTTCACTATTTCTACATGTGCTGCTTTATATTATAAAACAGGATACACATGAATTAATAAAAAGTTTTTTTAATCTTATTATAGATTTCTACGGAAGTTTAAACCTACAAATTGTATAAACTAAGTCATTTGATCTTAATTAAATAAACTTATATATATATATCTTAATACCAATTAACAAATATACATCACATCAAAATATTTGTAGAGAGGTGCATCGTGGATTACATATCTATAGACTGTTCATGTCTTTTTTGTTACTCGGTAGGGAGCTATACACTAAGTGTACTGGAGCACCTTATGGCTATAGTGACTTTACCTATATAATGACCTCAGAATTATATCATCTGTAATTTATAATCTGACCACTCAGTCATACATGTAATTTATAAGCTGACATCAGCTTCTCCCAATATTGGCCCCTAGTCTGGCAGCTAAAGCTAGAATGTATACATACACATGCATGTGGACTTTGAACCCTATAGTTCATTTAGGTATGGAGAAATACCTGTGTATATTCTTATAACACACTGATTTGTAGCCCCCCTCAGGTAAGTTTACACTTGACTTACAGTTCTGTTACATTCAATTCGTTTGCTTTGTTCCCTAAGCTAGTATTTTCTTTATATGTCTTCCGTCATGTTTGTCATTGATGTATACTTTTTAAGTCAGCCACATAAGCCGTATACTTCATAAAAGAATTATTCTAATTATGATCTTGTAATATGCTGTAATATTAAGCTTCATATGAGGAATTTTCTGGTGCGTTATAAATTAAACTTCCAAATGTTTAATTAAGAACAATCACCTGTATATTAGAAGTCAAAGGGTTCAAAGTGAATTTCTGGTTGTAAGACATAAGAAACGTGTACTTAACATATTGATGCCGTATTATTACATACAATTAACAGCACCCTTATATGAAATTCAAGATTTTGAAGTAGAATTATAAGGATAAACATGTAACTGTGAAATGTACTTGTATTAGTAGAACTAGCATCTAACAGATGTCTATATAGATCTATAAGCTTAAATTGAGATGTGTTGTTAGTGTAAGAAGGGTAGATCCATTCCCAGCATTCAATCAAATTTCTTTTGGACATTTGGTAATAGGTCTTGTACTATGAAGGATTCTTACTGAAACTGTAAGGACATTTTAGTCTATAGGTAAAAAAGTGTTGTTTATGATTATGCATACCAGAATCACAGTTCAATGACAATTTTTCTCATTATCTTATAAAATATACGCAAAAAAACAGCTGATTTAATGTTCACACTGACTGTAGAATCGATAGAATGTAATAAATATTGTAGTGAAATATTATAAAAAGTTTATGACAGAGAATAAATTACAGTGCTATACAGTACATGTTGATGTGCTGATCTTATCATCAACAGAGTGTGTATATAATTACTGTACATGAACTATTGGTGTTCATGTACTTGTAACATCTGGTTTAGACATGCACGCCTCTAGTTCGGCTCTGGTTCTCTTGTAACCTGTAGCATGAATGAAAGGAAGGCCAGGGAACGCCGGTTGCTTGAGTAACAAAGGACACAACACTTTTGCATATTGCATGAAAACTGTATCATATTAGATCTCCCCTGGAAATTTTGAAAGGATGATTAACATACTGTTTCATCTAGTGCAGCAACATTGCATAAATTCTAGATAAAAATAATTAAAAGCAGCATAGAGATTTTGGATAGCAGATATAAGAATCTCACTCTGAATGTTGTTACCGAGGTACCACTACCACTGTTTTGGTCACTAAATTTTACAACAGCCTGTTCCTTTATGAATTTGGAAAATATAGCATTATTTGTATTGAATTTGGGAATATATTCCTCAGTTTTCAGTCATTTTGGGAAAATAAGACACTTTTTAGCAAGGAGAAACAGCCCTGTATTCGGCAGTAAAACTGAGCAAAACAAATCACTGGTTACATGTACGTATACATAACCATTGGACACAGGGACCTGATGATCTACATGTGAGTCTCGGGTTCTATACTCCTAAGATTTTGATTGGACTTATGCACAGTTCCTGGAAATACTCAAATTTAACTTGGTGTGACCCACAGTTTTTGATAAAAAAAGATATACGTAGGTGGGATCCCATTAGAATGTACATGTATATATGAGCTACATTGTATGTGTCATAATCGTTGACAAGTAAATATCTATATATACCGTAATACTTGTATAGTCTGAATGTGTATGTGTCCTTGTGTGTTAATGTCTGCATGTCTGCATGTATATTTGTAAGTGTGCTGTCTGACATGTGTCTTTGTTGGAATATGCAGTGTATATATGTTTGTAAATTATATTTATTAGCTGTGTTGTGCTTATGTTTGGGTACCCACCTGTACCTGTAGTTGTCGGGTCTTTATGCATATGTATGTTTGTGTACATACTTAAAGTGTTAAGTCTGTGTGTTTATGTTTGGATATATACATTATTACACATACCATTATATGTGTGGTCTGTATACATGTATGTGTTTGGGTATACTTTAAGATGTGCAGCGTGTTTATGTTACATACCATTATATGTGTGGTCTGTACACATGTATGTGTTTGTGCTTACTTTAAGATGTGCAGTGTAATTATGTTACATACCGTTATATGTGTGGTCTGTATACATGTATGTGTTTTGGTATACTTTAAGATGTGCAGCGTGTTTATGTTCCATACCATTATATGTGTGGTCTGTATACATGTATGTGTTTTGGTATACTTTAAGATGTGCAGCGTGTTTATGTTCCATACCATTATATGTGTGGTCTGTATACATGTATGTGTTTGGGTATACTTTAAGATGTGCAGCGTGTTTATGTTACATACCGTTACATGTATGGTCTGTACACATGTATGTGTTTGTGCTTACTTTAAGATGTGCAATGTAATTATGTTACATACCGTTATATGTGTGGTCTGTATACATGTATGTGTTTGTGGTTACTTTAATATGTTCAGTGTGTCAATGTTTGGGTACATACCATTATATATGTGGTCTGTATGTATGTGTTTGTGTATACTTTAATATGTTCAGTGTGTCAGTGTTTGGGTACATACCATTATATATGTGGTCTGTATGTATGTGTTTGTGTATACTTTAATATGTTCAGTGTGTCAGTGTTTGGGTACATACCATTATATATGTGGTCTGTATGTATGTGTTTGTGTATACTTTAATATGTTCAGTGTGTCAGTGTTTGGGTACATACCATTATATATGTGGTCTGTATGTATGTGTTTGTGTATACTTTAATATGTTCAGTGTGTCAGTGTTTGGGTACATACCATTATATATGTGGTCTGTATGTATGTGTTTGTGTATACTTTAATATGTTCAGTGTGTCAGTGTTTGGGTACATACCATTATATATGTGGTCTGTATGTATGTGTTTGTGTATACTTTAATATGTTCAGTGTGTCAGTGTTTGGGTACATACCATTATATATGTGGTCTGTATGTATGTGTTTGTGTATACTTTAATATGTTCAGTGTGTCAGTGTTTGGGTACATACCATTATATATGTGGTCTGTATGTATGTGTTTGTGTATACTTTAATATGTTCAGTGTGTCAGTGTTTGGGTACATACCATTATATATGTGGTCTGTATGTATGTGTTTGTGTATACTTTAATATGTTCAGTGTGTCAGTGTTTGGGTACATACCATTATATATGTGGTCTGTATGTATGTGTTTGTGTATACTTTAATACGTTCAGTGTGTCGATGTTTGGGTACATACCATTATATATGTGGTCTGTATGTATGTGTTTGTGTATAATTTAACATGTTCAGTGTGTCAGTGTTTGGGTACATACCATTATATATGTGATCTGTATGTATGTATTTGTGTATACTTTAACATGTTCAGTGTGTCAGTGTTTGGGTACATACCATTACATATGTGGTCTGTATGTATGTGTTTGTGTATACTTTAATACGTTCAGTGTGTCAGTGTTAGGGTACATACCATTATATGTGTGGTCTGTATGTATGAGTTTGTGTGCTTTCAGGGGAGCAGTCTATAGTTATCTTTAAAGATGGCTGAGGCTCACTCCGCTGTAGCCTTTTCCTTAATATGTTCAGTGTGACAGTGTTTGGGTACATACTATTATATATGTGATCTGTATGTATGTGTTTGTGTGCTTTCAGGTGAGCAGTCTATAGTTATCTTTAAAGATGGCTGAGGCTCACTCCGCTGTAGCCTTTTCCTTCTCGGTCACTCAAGAAGGAATTGATGTTAATCTCAACCATGAAGCTCTCAGGGCAGTGTGGAAGAGTGGTGTACGGTCCTGGAAAAAGCGTATAGGAAGAGCCAAGGTAAGTAGTAATTATATATACTAACTGAACTATAATGGGACAGCTAAGCAAAGGTAAATCAAGCTGACATGTCCCAGGGCACATAGTGTGAGCCCTGAGCCCTGACCTTTATGTAGATAAATACATGTGGATATATCAAGTCATCATGTCATCACTCTCATTCATTTTCAGACATACTGTTCCTAACATGCTTATATTGAATTAGACCATAAGTTTAGCTCCTATCTTTGTTGGCATGTAGCTATATATAGCTTACCTATGTACTGACCAAAGTGATGGTTTTGATTCTAACAGATGGTTAAATTATTTTAGTAGTGATTATAGAGAGGCTTTCGTAAACTGGTAAAATGTTTTAGCAGTGTTTATAGAGAGGCTTTCGTAAACTGGTAAAATGTTTTAGCAGTCATTATAATATAGAGAGGCTTTTGTAAACTGGTAAAATGTTTTAGCAGTGATTATAGAGAGGATTTCGTAAACTGGTAAAATGTTTTAGCAGTGATTATAGTATAGAGAGGCTTTCGTAAACTAATAAAATGTTTTAGCAGGGATTTTAAAATAGAAAGGCTTTCGTAAACTGGTAAAATGTTTTAGCAGTGATTATAGAGAGGCTTTCGTAAACTGGTAAAATGTTGTAGCAGTGATTATAATATAGAGAGGCTTTCGTAAACTGGTAAAATGTTTTAGCAGTGATTATAGAGAGGCTTTCGTAAACTGGTAAAATGTTGTAGCAGTGATTATAATATAGAGAGGCTTTCGTAAACTGGTAAAATGTTTTAGCAGTGATTATAGAGAGGCTTTCGTAAACTGGTAAAATGTTGTAGCAGTGATTATAATATAGAGAGGCTTTCGTAAACTGGTAAAATGTTTTAGCAGTGATTATAGAGAGGCTTTCGTAAACTGGTAAAATGTTGTAGCAGTGATTATAATATAGAGAGGCTTTCGTAAACTGGTAAAATGTTTTAGCAGTGATTATAGAGAGGCTTTCGTAAACTGGTAAAATGTTGTAGCAGTGATTATAATATAGAGAGGCTTTCGTAAACTGGTAAAATGTTTTAGCAGTGATTATAGAGAGGCTTTCGTAAACTGGTAAAATGTTGTAGCAGTGATTATAATATAGAGAGGCTTTCGTAAACTGGTAAAATGTTTTAGCAGTGATTATAGAGAGGCTTTCGTAAACTGGTAAAATGTTGTAGCAGTGATTATAATATAGAGAGGCTTTCGTAAACTGGTAAAATGTTTTAGCAGTGATTATAGAGAGGCTTTCGTAAACTGGTAAAATGTTGTAGCAGTGATTATAATATAGAGAGGCTTTCGTAAACTGGTAAAATGTTTTAGCAGTGATTATAGAGAGGCTTTCGTAAACTGGTAAAATGTTGTAGCAGTGATTATAATATAGAGAGGCTTTCGTAAACTGGTAAAATGTTTTAGCAGTGATTATAGAGAGGCTTTCGTAAACTGGTAAAATGTTGTAGCAGTGATTATAATATAGAGAGGCTTTCGTAAACTGGTAAAATGTTTTAGCAGTGATTATAGAGAGGCTTTCGTAAACTGGTAAAATGTTGTAGCAGTGATTATAATATAGAGAGGCTTTCGTAAACTGGTAAAATGTTTTAGCAGTGATTATAGAGAGGCTTTCGTAAACTGGTAAAATGTTGTAGCAGTGATTATATTATAGAGAGGCTTTCGTAAACTGGTAAAATGTTTTAGCAGTGATTATAATATAGAGAGGCTTTAGTAAACTGGTAAAATGTTTTAGCAGTGATTATAGAGAGGCTTTCGTAAACTGGTAAAATGTTTTAGCAGTGATTATAATATAGAGAGGCTTTCGTAAACTGGTAAAATGTTTTAGCAGTGATTATAGAGAGACTTATGTAAACGTTAACTGGTAAAATGTTTTAGCAGTGATTATAGAGAGGCTTTCGTAAACTGGACATTAGTATAGACCACAGGTTAATTTATACATTCATTCAGTATGGATCAAACATATATAGTCATAAATGTACTACAGTACATTGTCTATAGACAAGGGTCGATGTTAATGTGTCCTGTTTAATGTTCCTCTTACTTATACTGACATCTTTTACATAGTACCACCCAATAGACTTGCCCCATGTCAGAGTTTTTTCATTATATATATGATATACCATACAGTGTATTTAGTTCCATTGTACAGGTTCAGTGTATAATTTTTGTCAGCCTTATATATGTATAGGTGTATATTTCAGTAAGGTTTTATACATGACACTCTGTGATGGTATTCATTTACATTAAGTTGTACACAATAAGTCATGCTATTTTTAGGTCACCTGAGTTATATCATAGGTACTGGTGGCTTTGTTTTATTGTTTAGATGTGATGTGGAAATCAGCATGTAAACTAAGTGAAATACAATTCTTTTCATGTCATCAAAGGGTAAAAATTTGAAAATATTGGTAAATGTTCCCTTTGGGACCCCACCCTAGCCCCTGGAGATCAGGCAGGAATCCTAATTTTACAATGTTATACCCTCATTCACCAAAGATGATTCTGACTAAGTTTAAGCTATCCGTTCTCCCTTGGGGAGGGGGTTAAGTTTACTATAGTTTATATAGGGAAATAACACTTTTGGGTATATTTTATCCATTTTCAGCAGAAAATTAGGTACTCAAACTTGGTCAGAATCATCTTTAGTAAATGAGGGTGTTACTTTGTAAAATTATGATTCTTCCCCATCCCCATGGGCTAGGGTGGGGCCCCAAAGGGAACATTTACCAATATTTTCAAATTCTTATCCATTGATGACATGACAAGTATTGTATTTCACTTAGTTTACATGCTGATTTCCACATCACATCTAAGCAATAAAATAAAGCTACCAGTATACCTATGATATAACTCAGGTGACCGCTAAGGCCCTTGGGCCTCTTGTTATAGAAATGTCTAGTTAATAGCTATAGCCACTTGACAGTCACACTGTCATTAGTGGCCTTATTAGATTATCACTCAAATCTAATAGCTACATGATGTGATAGTTTTGTGAAAGAAATTTGATGGCAAACCAAACTTAATTCAACCGAGGCTTTCCAAGGCTTTTAAACCCAATTGATGTACCCAAGGGTGGGACGTTAATGTTTCTATCCTACATCATTTACATATGATATAGTTATTTTCTTACAACATTTACTTGCAGTGTAATTCGCTTGATTGAGATGTGTAGCCATCTAGACCCATGGATGTCCCTGACACAGTTGTACATTTGATTTTACTTTGAACAAATTCAGTTGTTCAAGCTTTGTTAAATATGTCAGTGCATTTTGTCTGAATTGATCCCCCAAAAGAGCTTAAGGAGGGCATAGTGCATTTTGTCTGAATTGATCCCCCAAAAGATAGAGAGAGGGCATGCTCCAAGATCAGAGCAAGGATCAATTATGAGATAAGGTTGGCAGATAAATTGAGATAATAATTTTTTTATTTATTGTAATAAAGAGTGATATGAAATAAGATTTCATATTGAAAGAGGTGACATTATTTATTGTTGTCCCCTCTGACTTAGTATATATATATATATCTTTAACTTTGAAAGATAAAAAATATAGTAGCAGTCTGTGGACGATGACCAAGTACTTTGAACTTAAACGTCTTGTTTGTTTACAAACCTGTTTACAGGTATGTTTTAAATATATACATATATAAAGTATTTAACAACTAACATCTAATTCAGGTTCAGAATAGTGTTATTGACCTTTAGATAGCTATAGAGTGCCATTAAGGTGTCTGAAAAGGAGGTGCTAGCTGGCACTCTACCAAGTCAAAGTACCCATTGTTGTCTCTGTAATATCGAATACCTCTGTGTAATACAGTTATGTATGTTATTTGGACTTTGTCCTAGGTAATTTAAGGTACACAGTTGGGACAAACTAATTTGGACAGCCAATTTCTGAACTGTATACCACTTTTGATCAGTCTATTATATGTCCTTATATAATCACACACTTGCTAACTCTTCCTATAAATTTAGGAGGGAGACTCCCTATAATTATATTGAACCCGAAAATTGAGCATTTTCAACCAGTGAATTTGCTAAACTATTCCCATTTTACAAGATCTGATGATTTCATCCAAAAAAACAACAGCTCAAAATCAAAGATGCCATGTTAAAGTATTATTTTCTCCATAGAGTGTAGATGTACAGATTATATTTATGTTTTAATTTTGAGCACACCTCATCTCTCCAATGGAAATTTCAAAAAAGTTGGCAAGTATGTTAAATAGTGTATGCATATCCATACTTTAAAACAAAATAAAGGCTTGCAAAGATAACTTTGTAAGAACATGGATGCGTTGTAAACTACAGCTGAATGTTCGTGGACTGAAGTGTGATGTCAGATTTCTGTCTGGCCTGTGACAGGTGGCAACGAGACATAGGCGTCACTTTTCTGTTGTGGCGTCAATGTCAAGTTTTTTGCATTTAGCTTTGTTTCAAATAAAATATAAGTACTACACCATCCAAACTAGGACCATATTTTTTTTTATCTTAGCTTATTCTTTGCAATCCATACATCAGATACTGAATGAGACCTACATTTCCTGGTCTAGTGACTGTTACGGCATCCTCATCAGTGTTAATTGTTTTCGGCATTTAGCTGAGTGTTAATATGTTGTTTCTCAAAATAAGTCCTATACCTACTAAACTTACACCATAAATACGTCCTGGGCAGTACATCTTATTTCAAGCATCAGCTGCTGTTCATGAGTGGGTCCTAGTTTATAAGGTCTAGCGACTTTGTCAGTTTCCTCATTAATGCTAACTTGGATTATAAATAATTTGTGGGTAATTTGTTTGGTTGCTAGCTGCGAATGCTGAATATTACCTTGATTCCTTGAAGCATTTTCTTTTTCATCATCCTCGTCTTTGTTAAGTTGTTGTATTTTTAGGTTTAGAGTGTTTTTCAAAATGTGCCAGTTACTCACCAACTACACCTGGAATATAACGTTTCATATGTATTGCATCTCATACCTGCTTTGGATTCTAGTTATGATCTGAGAATGATATTCGGCTTGTGACCGAAGGTTTGTGGGTTCAAGTCACGGCACGGAACTGTGTTGTATCTTTGAGCAAGATACTTTACTCCGCTTGTTCCAGTCACTCAGCTGTAAATGAGTACGTGGTTGGGCAGTGCTAGAATTGTAGAATGCTAGTTGTGAGCGCCAAAATGGCAGCACCGGCTGTATGCTCCCCAGGGAGCGGAGAAAGATATTGGCTAGTTGCAAAGGCCCTATAACCACGGATAATAATTTGCGAACCACTTTGAGACGACCTTCAAACTAGGTTGTGATAAAGCGGTATATAAGAACCTCAAATTATTATTATTATTATTGTAAGAAAAAACCATTGAAATTCCAATTATTTTAAATCTATTAATTTTCAGTAAACATTTTCTGAATTTAGATTAACATTTGAATGTAAAAGATTGAAATGGTCAAAGCAGGGTTTGGCATGACATATCATTTTGTGGAATTCTTGTTCATTTCAGAACCAGGTTAAAAATGGTGTGTACCCTGCGACGCCCATGAGCTGGCTATTCATTGCTTCAATAGTACTGGGAACACAACTAGCAGGATATGACATCTCCTTTGGACTCGTAGGATGGCTACAGACCCACATACCTTGGTGAGTTTAGAATCATTTAATGCTCAGGGCAGAAGGTTTTGATGGAGTTTAGTCTTTAACTTTTCATATATCTACATATCTACCAGACAATGAGAATGTAGTACAATTTAGTACAATTTAGTTTATATGGACATGTATATACCTTATACCTGTATCTGAATCACACGACTTTACTTATGAAAATGCATACACCTTTGCCTCAAATTTGATTCAAGTATGATTTGAATTAACTCTTTCACCCCTATGTTACTTTAGTAGACTCTACCATGCATTGATCTGGATGAGTCCATTATGGTCTACAGTGGTGAAAGTGTTAATCAAATATTTGATGCTTGGCGTTATACCTTGTGTGCTGTCAGATTATGAGTAAATCATTTTACAACATCAGTTGCCAGTTTTCTAGTCAATAGAAAGACCTGTGTTCATTAGTCAGTAAATGTATAAAATCTTAAAATGACTGTTTACACAGGTCTGCTAAGTGCTGGTTCATAATGCAATGGGTTTTAATCTTTACCTGATCAGGACCCTAGATTTATGTAGGTGGGAGGAATACATGACCATTTTGTAGGTTGGAGGATAGCTGTCTATCAACCAATGTTTATATATCAACGACTAACTCATTAATTACTATTGATATAATATTGACGTTTTCGACCCCTATAGGGTACGGGAGGCATCGTCTGTTGTGAGTCTATACACCTGCTGTATCCTGTTTTCCACTCTATTGTGGGTGGCCAAGGCCAACTTGATGAAATACACCCTCAAGATGCTGCTACACTACCACGGCTGGATGTATGAACCCCGCGGTCCCATGAGCCTCCGCACCAAGTTATGGATGGTAAAGTTACTTCTTGCTTATATAGGCCTGTAACATCTACACACAATTTTGGTGATCCTTCTAATGGCTATAATGTGGTGTTTATCTAGATCAATTTCTGTTATTTAACTTCTGCTTTGTCAGCTTAACATGTGTTTATACATTATAAATACAGTCTCTTTTTATAGCATAGTCATATTTTGTGATTTCGATGGCAAGCTAAGATGAATCCCTGAATTCAAATGACCGTGCATGTTGTATATATTACTACATGTCTTGAAATCATTTTTTTTGCATAAAAATGAACAAATATACTGCTGTTAATAAAAGACAGAAGTTTGCTTCATTGTAGTGTTGTTCAGCTTGTTTTTCATGCTGAGATGAATCATTGAATTTAACACAATGACCATACTAGCTACACAGCTAATCTTAAATTTCAAACCACAAATTCAAAATTACAAATTTTGATTATCTGATGTATATGCCACATTAACACAAATAATGTTTAAGCTCCAGATTAAAGTACTAATTTACATCTTGTGAAATAGAACCCAGTTTACTTTGATCTAAAACATGTTTTAGAAAATTCATTTATGTACATGTATTTGATATAAATTGTTTTAGCATAAAATTAATGCCATATTGATAATATGTTCTCATATGCTTTAGAATAATAAAAACTGAGTAAGCAAATCTATTAATGATGATGACTGCATACAGAACTATTTCTGTAGTTTTTAAAGGATGTGATTTACTGTTTCCGTTATAAATGCATTTACACATGTTGAGATACATATTGTATGATTACATTTGTTTTGTTTCAGGGTTTGGTCAAGTTATTTGGTGGGAAGAAACCTTTGTTGATGAGTTACCAAAGTGCTCTTCCAAAAATCAATGTTCCTCAAGTCGGTGACACCATAGATACGGTAAGATAGATTGTGTTCCTGTGTCAATGACACCATAGATAGCATAAGATAGATTGTGTTCCTGTGTCAGTTACACCATAGATAGAGTAAGATAGATTGGGTTCCTGTGTCAGTGACACCATAGATAGGGTAAGATAGATTGTGTTTCTGTGTCAGTGACACCATAGATAGGGTAGGATAGATTGTGTTCCTGTGTCAGTGACCCCATAGATAGGGTAAGATAGATTGTGTTCCTGTGTCAGTGACACCATAGATAGGGTAAGATAGATTGTGTTCCTGTGTCAGTGACACTATAGATAGGGTAAGATAGATTGTGTTCCTGTGTCAGTTACACCATAGATAGAGTAAGATAGATTGTGTACCTGTGTCGGTGACATCGTAGATAGGGTAAGATAGATTGTGTTCCTGTGTCAATGACACCATAGATAGCATAAGATAGATTGTGTTCCTGTGTCAGTGACATCATAGATAGGGTAAGATAGATTGTGTTCCTGTGTCATTGATTCCATAGATAGGGTCAGATAGATTGTGTTCCTGTGTCAGTGACACTATAGATAGGGTAAGATAGATTGTGTTCCTGTGTCATTGATTCCATAGATAGGGTCAGATAGATTGTGTTCCTGTGTCAGTGACACAATAGATAGGGTAAGATAGATTGTGTTCCTGTGTCAATGACACCATAGATAGCATAAGATAGATTGTGTTCCTGTGTCAGTGATTCCATAAATAGGGGAAGATAGATTGTGTTCCTGTGTCAGTGACACTATAGATAGGGTAAGATAGATTGTGTTCCTGTGTCAGTGACACAATAGATAGGGTAAGATAGATTGTGTTCATCGAGTCAGTGACATCATAGATAGGGTAAAACAGATTGTGTTCCCTTAGTTAATGACATCATAGATAGGGTAAGATAGTGTTCCTTTGTCAGTGACATCATAGATAGGGTAAAACAGATTGTGTTCCTTTAGTTAATAACATCATAGATAGGGTAAGATAGATTGTGTTCCCTTAGTTAATGACAACATAGATAGGGTAAGATTGTGTTCCTGTGTCAGTGACATCATAGATAGGGTAAGATAGTGTTCCTTTGTCAGTGACATCATAGATAGGGTAAGATAGATTGTGTTCCCTTAGTTAATGACAACATAGATAGGGTAAGATTGTGTTCCTGTGTCAGTGACATCATAGATAGGGTAAGATAGATTGTGTTCCCCGAGTCAGTGACATCATAGATAGGGTAGGATAGATTGTGTTCCCTTAGTTAATGACATTGATAGGGTAAGATAGAATGTGTTCCCTTAGTTAATGACATTGATAGGGTAGGATAGATTGTGTTCCCTTAGTTAATGACATTGATAGGGTAAGATAGAATGTGTTCCCACATCAGCAGTACCATAGATATGGGAAGATAGATTAGTTTTTCTTGAGTTATTGACATCATTGACAAGGGTAAGATAGTTTGCATTGTGTTCTTGCCATTGGATGAAATGCAGAAACTTGTGTGACAGATATTTTCTGCTTCACTGATTTTGGTTAAACTTTGGGTTTAGCTCTATTCCAATATTCAAACCAAGTGGGAGTGGTGGAGTATGCTTAATATGTTTTATAAAAATGTCCAAGTTTAAATAGTTGTTGCATGAAGTATGAAGATAGGAAGATGTCAAGTTGATTTTGTAGCATTTTGAAAGTTGCAGAGTAGAGGCTTTCAAAATACTGAAGAATTATCATCTATCTACCATTATAGAACAATGCCTGTGTTCCGATTAGCTGATAGGTCTCAAAATGTCAAAAATGCCATCAAGTAATGGTTTTATGGTTATCTAATACATTTCTTTTCCTGTTAATAGTATCTGAAATCAGTCCGTCCGTTGATGGATGATGAAAAATACAACCGGATGCAAGACCTTGCTAAGGATTTCCTCAATGGAATGGGTCCAAAACTAAACCGCTACCTCAAGCTGAAATCCTGGTGGTCCACTAACTATGTAAGTCTGTGTATATGGTTATATTATACATCATTGTAATATATGAACAAGTTTCCACATATATTTGGTCCATTTACACTACACTTGTGTTTTACCATAACTTCAACTTCTGTAAAGAGTGGTATAGAAAAGGAGTGCTTTTCATATATGATGTTATTAAAGAAGATGGTTCTTTTTATAATTTTATAGAATTTCAACATAGATATTGTATTAGGTCCATTTTTTTTTTTTTAACTTTTCACAGTATAATTTGTGCTATAAAACAGTTTATAAATAGCGAACAAGAAATCTTTGCTTTAGAAAAGAGTATTTGTTTACCTCTTATACCTTTAAACCTTAATATTATATTAAGGAAAACTATAAAGGGGCACAGGATATTTATGCTGTTTTATGCCAAAAAGATACAAAACTTACTTCACAAAGAAAATGGTCTACAGTTTTTAACATTCAGGACAAACTATGGAAAAAGATTTATGCATTACTGAGGTGGTATTTTACGTGGTAGAGGCGGACTGACATTTACTTTACAGTCTTATGGTATATGTAAAATATATCTAGGGGATTTACTGTATCCCATAAACGCATATAATATATGCATGCTGACTGATCTTTTGACAGATAAGAATAAAGATGATCAGTATTCATTGTTGGAGCTTGCCTCCAGCTCAGAAAAATCAAGTCATTTACCATGTTTGATGTTTTAACCCTTTCACCCCTATGTAACGTTAGTAGACTCTACCATGCGTTGACATGGATGAGTCCATTATGGTCTACAGTGGTGAAAAGGTTAAAATTATACTGATTGAAGAAAGCATTCTTATCCTGAAATTTTATGACGGAGCCAGCAGTAAATAAATCCTCTTTAAAACAGTATACAACTGATGTTGTGATATTTGAAAAAGTTACATGTAGACGCATATAATTAAAGTGTATAATGTGTAAATCAGGCCCTTTTGTTTCCAGCCTCAGGATTAAATGTGTACTTTTAAGTTAGTGCTTTTTCAACAGAAAGTTGAGTATTTTTGTAAATGAACTGCCTACGATACTTTTTAATTTCCTGGTCTTATCTTACAGATCTCTGATTGGTGGGAGGAATATGTCTACTTAAGTGGACGGTCACCAATCATGGTCAACAGTAACTTCTATGGTATTGTAAGTATAGCTTCGATTGACTGCAACAAACTGGATGTATGCAAACTATGTTTGAATTAAGATAGGGTTTGGATATGTATTAATTCATTCATATGAGTCAAATGGTCTGCCTAACTTAATTGAGCTTGTAGAATATGAAATGAATTTTTACATGGTCAGGTTCTTGTTTAGGGCTCAGTTGCATCAACCTTGATAGCTTAATGAGGCACAGTAGTCTAGTGGTAGGAGCACGGGCTCGTGACCGAAGGGTTGTGGGTCGGAGTCACGGCACGGCACTGTGTTGTATCTTTGAGAAAGATACTTTACTCCGCTTGTTCCAGTCTACTCAGCTGTAAATGAGTACATGGTTGGGTAGTGCTAGAATTGTAGAATGCAAGCTGTGAGTGCTGAAATTGCAGCACCGGCTGTATGCTCCCCAGGGAGTTGAGAAAGATATTGGCTGATTGCAAAGGCCCTATAACCACGGATAATAATTTGTGAACCGCTTTGAGACCAACTACAAACTAGGTTGTGATAAAGCGGTATTTAATAAGAACCTCTAATTATTATTATTATTAATGACACAAAAATTAAAAATGGAATCTCTGGTATATTTGCATAGTTATTCTTCCCAACCTGTACTACTCTAGGGGACTATAGGCTTACACCTTGTCTGTCAGTCACTGCATTACTTTGTCTGGTGCTTATCTCATATATTTTGTCACCTACAATTGGCAAATTTTGCTTGTAAGTACCTCTTTGGATGACAAAGTGTCGCACACTGACACTGGGTATTATTGATAAGTTATGATAACTTGTACCTTGTCCTGTTTTGTTTAATTCACTATTATATGTACGGTGTATGTCAAATTGTTTTGTTGAGATTGGGAAAAAAAACTCTTTCACAAATTTACTTAAAAGTGTGCCTGAAACTGATGCAGATCATTATACAACTACATTTCGAATTAGAACATTTGCTAAAATTTGACTAAATGCAAATAGTTGTATAGTGCTACAGGTCAAATGTGTTTCATTTTGCCGTCTTGGTATGGGAATGGTGTTCAGGAAACAGTGGGGAAATGATGTTTATATTAATACGTCTTTGTTGTGAAAAATGTATGTGAAATGTTTCAGGATGCAGTTCTTGTCCATCCCACGAAGATCCAGGCAGCCAGAGCAGCTAATGTGGTCCACGCCATGCTGTTGTACAGACGAGAACTGGATACGGAACAACTCAACCCTGTATGTCACAAAGACCGGTTTTATTGCTCTACAAAATAATGTCAAGCTTAGTTCATAAAGTTTGTTTCTGGTAACGAAATATTTTCAAAAAGTAATTTTAGGTGTTTATTTGATATTTGTTATTTTCTTAAATTAGTTTTTGAAAATCAGTTGATCTTCAAAGTTTTTCATTCTTTATAATAATTAGAATTGGCTTTAAGACCCTTTAAGGTCAGTAGGAATCCTGGTAATGGCAGCATAAAATTTATATTTGACCTCCAGGAAAAAGAACTGTTCTCTATCCCGAGTGCATTTTATTTCAGATCTTACTGAACCAAACAATTCCACTCTGTTCCAACCAATATGAGAGGCAGTTTCAGACAACAAGAATACCAGGCATTGAAAAAGGTAAAATGGGATAATGTTTTCTGCTACTCCTGCAAATATAAGATACACATGGCCCATGTAAAACAACCATATTAGATAACTGTATCCCACTGTATTTTACTAAATCTTTGCAAGGGAGTGCATAAAAACAAATGTATACATTCAAAATGTTCAGTACCATATCACTGACACTCTGAAATGTGACAGCATCTCAATGACTTTTGATATTTTGGTTAGGGGAAGCTTACCTACCAGGTATACCCGCTACAACAGTATTTGGCATCGCCTACCAGAGAAAAATAAATAACAAACTTGCCGTGAAGCTTTTCCATATCCATTTGATTCTGAAGTATGCCTTCGGCTCACCATATTTATTCCTGCTCATTCTAGATATTTTCTTTTGTAAGTTTGTATGGTACCTAGAAACGCTACTTTATTTATCGTTGCATTCACAATGTCACTGTTGATTCCTATCTAATTCCTGGCTCAGAGATGGGAGAAACGAGTAAAATATTATATATAGATATGTCGGATAGGGAAATTTTCACTCAGGCATTCAGGTGTAGAGGGCTCAGAACCGTTCACAAGCTTTGGTTCTGACTGAAATTCTGCAACGTCCAGTAGAATACCTCTATCCCACATACCTACATATGATAGAGTGTATTAAAAAGATTTTGGTAACAGATGGAGATGGATTTTATTGACAGTTTCTTTATTCACACAATTAATGCTGGAACAAAACCTATTTTGATAAAACATGTTATTAACTTTAAGAAAAATTCACCCTGGACAATTTCCTGCATACTCTTTTCAGAAGATTAATTCATTCACCCCTGACATTTCATAATGAACTTTACCAACCTTTGAATTGGAAGAGTTCAAATGTGTCTTCAGGGGTGGATGAGCTAACTGCTGTATAGTTTAATTATTAGCTCACCTGGGCCGAAGGGCCAAGTGAGCTTATCCCATGGTGCAGCGTCCGGCGTCCGGCAACTTTTTCCTTTAAAATGCTACTTGTCCTGAATGGCTCAGAGGATTTTGACCAAATTTGGTCAGGAGCATCATTGGCCAAAGGGTTCTCAGTTTTGTATAAACGGAGGGTATAACCCCCCTGGGGGCAGAGGGGCGGGGCCAAATAGGGGGAAAATAGGTAAATCTTTAAAAATCTTCTTCTTCTCAACCAATAGAAGGATTTTGACCAAATTTGTCCTAGAGCATCTTTGGACAAAGGAGACTCAAGTTTGTATAAACGGAGGGTGTGGCCTCTTTGGGGGCAGAGGGGCGGGGCCAAATAGGGGAAGTAGAGGATTTTTTCTCTCCTACTATACAAGTGAAGGGATTTAAACCAAATGCAGTCTGAAGCTTGGTCAGGAGCATCATTGGCCAAAGGGTTCTCAGTTTTGTATAAACGGACGGTATAGCCCCCCCTCGGGGCAGAGGGGCGGGGCTAAATAAGGGGAAAAAAGGTAAATCTTTAAAAATGTTCTTCTTCTCAACCAATTGAAGGATTTTGACCAAATTTGTCCTAGAGCATCTTTGGACAAAGGAGACTCAAGTTTGTATAAACGGAGGGTGTGGCCTCTTTGGGGGCAGAGGGGCAGGGCCAAATAGGGGAAGTAGAGGATTTTTTTCTCTCCTACTATACAAGTGAAGGGATTTAAACCAAATGTAGTCTGAAGCATGCTTAGGGACAAAAGAATCAATTTTGTATAAACTGAGGTGTGTGGGTCCCCTTCTAGGGGCAGATTGGTGGGGCCCATTAGGGGAAATAGAGGAAAACATCCAAGATCCTTCTCCTTTTGTACTGATGAAGGGATTTCAACCAAATTTGGTCTGGAGCATCATGGGCCAAAGGGTTCTCAGGTTTGTATAAACGGAGGGTATGGTCCCCATGGGGGCAGAAGGGTGGGGCCAAATAGGGGGAAATTAGGTAAATCTTTAAAAAAAATCTTGTTGTCAACCAAAAGAATGATTTTGACCAAATTTGTTTTAGAGCATCTTTGAACAAAGGGGTTTCAAGTTTGTATAAACGGAGGGTGTGGCCCCACTGGGGGCGGCAGTGGAGCATGTCTTAATAGGGAAAATAGAGGACATTTTCTCTTACTCTACAAGAGAAGGGATTTAAACCATATGCAGTCTGGAGCATGCTTAGAGACAAAGGAATTAATTTGGATTTATTTTTAGGGGGCGGGGGGGACAGATGGGGGGGCATTAGGGGAAATAGAGGAAAACATTCTCGTTCTGTACAGTACAAATGAATGGATTTAAAACAAGTGTGGTTAAAAGCATGTTTATGGTAAAAAGATGCATTGTTTTATAAACTAAGGGCTCATAAAATCTATGTTAATTACTTTAAAATGTAAATGGCAAGACGTGCTCATACACGTAAATATACTTTGTCCGGAAATCTTTTAACGTTTCGGAGCCGTTCGTTATCGTAGCATTGAATCCAGGTGTTTTCAATGATTGCATCAAAGCCGAGACTTTCAAACATTTCACGTACCCTGATGAATAACGTGACGTCACAATCTCAGAAACTACGAAGGTACTATAATGGCAGCCATTTTCCCATTACATGTTTAATTCAATAATTGGCCCAAACTATGGACATTTGCACTTCGTCATTACCAAATTTGTTGAGTAGGATTTTTATTATAACAATAACAAGTGTCAGCCGACAATTGTCACGGAACAAGACATGTATTCAACGCAAATTGAAACTGACTTAGCTGCACGTGTTCTGGTCGCTGTATGCATACTGTATCTGACCGTTGTATTTCGTCAACATGTTAGCGTTCATTTCATGATAACTCCCTATCTTTATTATGATTGTTTACCTGATTAACGTCCTTTTCGGTCTTCTGCAAGCAAGTTGCTTCTTGACTGTTATCTTTAAGTAATAGCTTCATGTTTATGTAACGTTATGATTCGGGTTGCGCAAATCACTCGTTCGATTTAGTCTTATCTTTCTTAATTATTTACTACAAATCGTCCACATTTTCATCGAAATTAATTATTTCTAAGCACGCGGATTTCGAAGTTAGTTCGAACAATATTTTGCAGACCAAGGTGAAATACTAGCTGTGAATAAAATCTCGATGCAGTACACAGGTCTAACTAACTTTCTGTCGTAAGAATCGGGGGCGGATCCAGGATTTCCTAAAAGGGGGGGGGGGCCCCGAGAAATTTTTCTCAATAGTAAACGGTGTGCTGCCAATATATCTCTACATTGATTCTCATTATAAACTTCTCCCCAGTTTTCAAACTTATATAAACTGACAATACATGTACATTATTATATTTACTGCACTCTCATAGGTGCATAGGTGGTTAAAAATCTATAATAACTAATTAAAAACCAAAGACCCCGGCCAAAGCACTGGAACAAGTTTGCCCTCCTCTCATGATCATCACTAATTTTTATACAAGATATTCATGAACAAAACTAAACATATTTTAACTATACAAGAATCCCAGGTGAGCTATTAAGGCCCCTGGGCCTCTTGTTAGCTCACCTGGCACAAAGTGCCAAGTGAGCTTATGCCGTGGTGCGGCGTCCATCGTCCGTCCGGCGTCCGGCGTCAATATTTTACTTTAAACGACTTTTTCTTAATAACCGAAAGGTTAAGGGTGATGATATTTGGCCAGAAGCAAACTGGGATGAAGGGCTACCAAGTTTGTTCAAATGAATGACCTTCATCTATTTTCAAGGTCACAGGGGTCAAATATGTTAAAAACTTTAAACAACTTCTTCNTCATTGTCTTTTGGTTCATGCTACATTTGATGACGAGATGTTGATGATGGATTGTGTTGTTGACAGACAAGCTGATGTATAGTAAGGACAGTCAACATATTGCTGTGTACTGTAGAGGACGATATTTCAAGATGTATGTCTACCAGCGAGGCAGACTGCTCAAACCCTGTGAACTAGAGATGTAAGTGCCGATTACCCTCAGTCCTTCAAGTCAAAGCCAGGATGATAACTGGTGGCAAAACTTGTCTCTTTATACCTTGGTCATAGGCATGCAATAATATTGATATATATATAGGATCTTACATGGGTTTTCATTTCATATTAGATTTATGAAACGAGTCTAAGAATTTTTCAATTTAGCGAGCCTCGAGCCTCTGGTGAGCTAAAATGAAAAATTTGTGACTAGTTTCATAAATTTCATATGAAATAAAAACGAGTGTAAGATCCTTTTTATCACATAATCAAGATTTGTGGCATTTATTCGTGTAAAATGGCAACCAATTACAGGGCCGATAGGTCATATTACATGGGTTAATACGAAATAAAATATGATATGGGTATATTCACTGGATAACACAGTACATTATGTGATAAATTATTATATGTACATGTCAAATGTATCCCTGCAATTGTTTAGCTTCAATTTAATTGTTCAGGTTTTCAGTTTTGGAAAACATTTACAAAATATTCATCCATTTTTGCCATCATTGCATCTTTTAATTTAACTTGCTTAATCGTTCTAGGAAAATTAGGTTATTTGTATGTAAATGAAATCTGAAAATATTTCTCTATTAATTTTACTACATTGTACTTAAAAAAATCTAAACAGACCAGATAAAGTGTATAGTTTGGAGACCTCTTTATCAACCTAAGGGGCTGGAGGCTCTGGAACTAATATGCGTTGAGGGGTTGATACAGGGTATTTTATGAAAATTTCATATTTACACCTTTTTATCATATACTACACTAAGAAAATCTAACATAACATTGAAACTTTTGCCATAGATTGAGCGTAATAGAGACTTTTCTTAAATGTTCTGATGCAAAAGTGAAACAGATATTGCATGTGCATGGCTGTTAAGGCACATGCCGGCCCTTTGCTGGGTGGACATGGTGCTCGCTGGGCAGTTATGGCACATGCCTGCCCTTAGCTGGGTGGACATGGTGCTCGCTGGGCAGTTTTGGCACATGACAGCCCTTAGCTCGGTGGACATGGTGCTTGCTGGGCAGTTATGTATCATGCCGGCCCTTAGCTGGGTGGACATGGTGCTTGCTGGGCAGTTATGGCACATGCCGGCTCTTTCCTGGGTGGACATGGTGCTCGCTGGGCAGTTTTGGGACATTTGCACAGATGTGGGTTGGTCCGGGATATGATATATGCACATACACAGCTAGGGGTATCACACAACTCCTAGCATGTATAATAATCTATGTGTATGACAATGTTACAGCTCCCTCCAGATGATCATAGATGACCAGACTGAGCCAGCTCCCGGGGAGGAACACCTTGCTGCCCTGACAGCAGGAGACCGCGTGCCATGGGCTAAAGCTCGCACAGAATACTTCTCAAAGGGCAAAAACAAGGCCTCACTTGATGCCATAGAGAAGGTAAAGACGGAAAAATGCAGGACTTAGACACTTACTTTTAGGATATGATTAATCATTGAAAGGGAAAACTTGCAGACAAGATATTTCAGAAACCCCTCAACAGATTTAATTTATATTTATGCCATAATTTGGTACAATCAACTTCTAACCTATAATAGATTTTAGTGGTCATTGGTCAAGGTAGAAATGGTCATGGTCACGTTTAACATCTTTATGGGGATAAGTATACATTTGAGCCTACAATCACTTTTTTCCATTCTGTTGTAATATATTGAGCTGCCACAGATATTTTGTATTTTAAAATTTACTCTTACTACAGCAATGATATTTTTCTAGATATATTTGAATGTTTTGGTTTTCAGGCTGCCTTTTTCCTGTCGTTAGATGACGAGCCACAGGACTTCGATGCTGTAAGTAATACACATTTCAATGCTAACATATCTGTAAGATATAATAATAACGAGCTTTGAAAGAAGCTGTATTAACAATGAACAAGTTAACCATTTAACATCATTAGTTTACTTCAAAATGTAAACTTTGTTTATAGCAAATACTAGGTCAAGTGTTCACAGTAAATCGAGCAGTGGTTACTATATGTACTGCTATCAAATCAAACCAAATATGAAATATAGAAGTATAAAAAAAATGATTTATTTTCAATTCAGTTTAGGTAGATTTGACAATTGGAAGGGGTCATATTCAAGCTGTTATTCATGTCATGTTCTTTGCTAATACTTCATAGCAGACTTGTTCCCACCAGACGACCATCTCCACCTGTAAGTTTTAGGCAAATAATGTTGTCTTCAAAGCTCACTCAGAAGAAAGTCGATACGGTTTTGGTCTCAATTCACTTAAAATTGCAATCCAATTAATTTTAAGTAAGGATATACATATAATGTTCCGATATCTGTTCCTGACTTAAGTTCAGGCAAACAGAATATGAGATGGTAATGTGGAGTGTAACCTGATTTGTTGGTAGGTGGGATCACTAGATACTCAGGTAAATGCTGCGCACCTGTATAGATATTGCATGAGCTGGTGGTAAAAATGTACTAGTTATTGTTGGTAAATTCTACTGTAAATATTGTGTACGCACTTGCATGCCTTTATATGTATGAGAAGACGGATAAAAGAAAAAATCAAGGATTCCTGAATTATTTGTCACAAATTAAGATTTGATCCAATAAGTCTATCTATGCTATTCGTTATATTCCGTCTTTGCGTATTGCAGAGTTATCTTCTATTGGAAGGAGGTATTGATTGTTAGGTCATTGGTCTGTGTGAGAAAATTACGTCGTTTTCTCAAAAATTGATGACGTTACTCTCACAAACAAGTGACGTAACAATCAATACCTGCTCCCAAGAGAAGATAACTCTGCAATGCGCAAAGACGGAATAGCTTTAATGATTTGTATATTTATTTTTCTGTACTTTATCATTCCCCCGTTTGGTCAAATTTTCATGATAATATGACATTTTCAATAATATCTAAACAATTTAATAATTCATATATTGTTTTCCAAAGAAGTTGAATAAAAGACATATAATATAAATATTTTTTGAAGTATTTTTCATTATTTTCCTCCAGATAAGTAGTTGTTCCTTCGCTAAGATTCTCCTTATGAAACATTTGTGTACTTTACAGGTAATGTTTAGGTCTTTACTTTTGTTTATTCATTTTTGTACTGTGTAGAACATAGATATATCTAATAGTTCTAAGTTTTGTTGGGATTCAGCAATTAAAATGTCTACTGTGTCATTTTTAAGAAATATCTATTAAACTTTTAGGAAAGGTCTAAAGAGAATTTCAATCAATTATAAGAAAGAAAAAAAAATCATTGTAAGGAATGATGCAGTCAAGTTGCTGTTATATTTTTTTCCAATACTAAAATATTAGTAAGGATATCAGATCTCAATGGTTTAAAATTCATATGATGCAAAATTATTCCGTGGTCTGTAATATTTTTAAAACCACAATGAGATTGTGATTCTTTGTTCAAAATTCGGGGTAGTTTTGCTGTGTGATGATGCTTTAAGATGACTGGCAAGTTTGTGTAGGGGATGGTCATTTACCACTCAACTGTAACTAGGTATTATAATGAGAAATAATCATGACAGAGAAAGAACTGTTTATTTAAAGCAATTGATTTAGTCTGTCATAATTCTGTGACTCTGGATATCTGAACTTGGTGCGTAATAGTCTGGGTTAGGAGCGAGACATTGATGTTTTCATTGGTTGTCAGATACTTTACCCAAACAGTTGAGATTTCTAGTTTTCATCTGACAGAGTCCTGGAGAGATCCATTATTTTTCTCCCATCATAATCCCAAGGGGAAAAATATGTTATCAATTTTTGCTATAAAGTATGTGAATAGTGACATCAGGTATGTCTCTGTTGGGTATGGGAAAAAATGTACCCTTTCACTAAGTGGAGCTTAACCTTGTGTTCCTAAGTCCATCCAGTAGAATTAAGGGGAAGTGGTACAGTATATACTTAACATAGCATGCAATGGGCAGGAGAAACCAGCAGAGGCCAGACTGGTCAGTTATAGGTCTCTTGTGTATTTACTAACACGTTGCTTGGGCTGATGACGTCAGTTGTTGCCTACCTGTAGAGTCAATTTTTTGTCTGTAATTGTGAAAGTAAAGTTGAACATTTTTTATGCATTTTCATATTGAAATACACATAAAATTATGCATATTGCAATATTTTGGAGGATATTGAGATATACGTTAAAACATTTTGATAAATAGAAATCAACAAGATATTTGAAAAAAGTAGAATTTCTAAACAATTTTTAGATACAAATTTGAAACAGACATGTAGTATGAGAGGAAAAAAGATTACTGAAAATTGCTTCAGCGCAGAGTTCTTAGTATTTAAACATCCATTATTTATTCAATAATGAACAGCAGTGAACTCTTTAAGTCATTATTTTTGCTAAATGATTTGAAAACAGATTATCAAAAAAATAACACGATAAAAGTAATAATAATCAGATACAGTATATTGCTTTACTAAAATCATTGCAATAATGAATTATCAAGCCTATACAAATGTATTTCAATATATTGCTTTATCAGTAATGTTGTCCAACCCTGTTGTAAAGTGAATGATACAAGATCATCTTGCTTTAGTAGAATTTATTGTTGGTTACATGGACAAACATCAGTGAGAAACTTACATGTATCATCCATGGTCTTGCTTGATTTTGATTTTGAAGGTTTTGTGTCTGCTATTTTGGCCTGATGGCCTTTCATGATCAGCACTTTGTGCTCTGTCAAGTCTTGCTTTGTATCTATGCTATATGGTCAATCTTTTGACATGTTGCACCTTATAAATGAGTGTTAGCTAAAATGAATACACTTTTATTTGATATAGGTTCATGAAATATTCATCCCTGATGATCAATGATAAAAAAAATAAGAATGAAATTGGCTTTGATTCCTCAAATATGTTTCTCCAATTCTATATATATGTATACACTCAGTCAAGTGATGGACTACTTTGACTGGTATTCAGGTACACATTGTTCTTACCGGGTAGCAGATACAGACCAATTCATACCAACATATATGGGTTATAACAGCAGTCTTATTTTGATTTTTACAGTAATTTGTTATACTGTTATGTTAAAAGATTTTTGCAAATTGGTCATTTTGATATTCCAAATTTTGTATAGAATCTGACATAAATAACAGTAATAGAGATTTGTAAAGTTAACCCAATTAAATACAAAGAAATTTTACCAGCATAAATGTGAATCTGGGTATTCCTTAACTCATTCACCCCTGGAATTTCATAATGACCTATTCTAACTATTGAAATGGAAGAGTTCAAATGTGTCTTCAGGGGTGGATGAGTTATTATGAGGTTGTGGTCCAAAATACTTCCCATTTCTTATAATTTCTTGACATTGGATCCTATCAATAAAGCTGAACAATGGAACTTGACAAATAACTCAATTGCAGCAAATTGCAAGCAAGACATATATCTTCCTGGACAAAATATAAAAAAAGTCCTATTGTAATAATGAGTGATACAGTGATATAAGTGTTGTGTTTATGTTTAGTGGTTGAATGTAGTCTCTATGTGTTCCCATTTGTCTCCACCATCTCAGAAATAATTCCCCTCAAAGTTAACCAATTTATGTAATTTTCCTTTCTAAATTTGTATCTTTGAAAGATGAACTTGTTGTGCATTACAAATTTGTCCAATAAAACATGTCTGTACATTATTTTACATGGTTTATCAAATTACACCTTATATAACTATATAACTCTGGCTTATATAGGCTTCCACCGTTTATAAATGGAGAACGATTCCAAACGTTTCTTAAAACCGAATAATAGATTGTTTAAAGGCATTTTCTGAAAGCACATGCCAGATGATGATGATAAACACCACCCACTATAAAGTAAAATGTTATGGTCATTCATTTTAGCACGACTCGACAAAGATGGACCGCTTCGGACGCTCCATGCTGCACGGGAAGGGCTACGACAGATGGTTTGACAAGTCATTCACTCTGGTTGTACTGTCCAATGGAAGGGTAAGGACTTGGTCAGAGGGGTAGCTCTGTAGGGGCGTGATCAGGTTGAAAAGCTCACTAATGATTTGTAGTAAGGCTGCTCTACTATATTTGTATGAATGTGTCTGAAACTTAATCAATTGATTAGTCGATAGATAGGCATTGCATTCAGGTTGCATTTCAATTCGAAATTTAGAAAAGAAATTTCATTTTAATTTCATTGTCTGACCTTTTTATAATGATTTTTTTTTAAAAATTGTGATTGGAATAAAGTGGTTGAAATGGGATATACAAATTATCAGTTTTCCAGAAGAATAAATGATTTACCACCTAAGAATTATACATGTGACAGCAAATGTGTGGACTACAGTCCACTTCAGTAATTTTATGTAATGACACAGATAACCAGGTAGGAATAACTCATATTGCACAATTAATGTGTTGATTCAATAAGATGATGAAAAAAGGTTCTGATCATGTTTTGTAATCTAAGGACTGAAGAGATGCTAACTCCATACCGTTCATCTACTGCCCATTGGTGATTATGGGTCATTTGATTATACGACCTGTAAGGCCTAATGTGTAGTTCCATGAATCACCCTTATCAGGATTATTAGTAGACAGTGGATCTTCTGATCCCAAATGTACATTATACATTATGATTGTGGTATATGATGTAAAACTGTTTTCAATTAGTTCGATACATTTGTCATAATTAAATATACTATAGCGGTCAGGCATAGTTTAGGAACTATCTTTCTGTGTATAAATCCAAATTTGGAGATCGATCCCTACTCTTTTAATCTAGGGAATTCTATAGCTTACATTCCCTGGTAAGACATTATAGCAATGACAATTTTAAACAAGCTGTATTGATAGGTGAGTGTACATGTATGTACTTGTCTTTGGCAGTATGTTTCAGTGAGGTAGCACTATAAAGTCGGCATCAGTTCCGCGCTATTACAAGGAGACAAACACGAACATATCGCAGCCTCCCAAAACACACACGCATACACTACCCACATGCATCTTGCACACAGGGGAGGCCGTCCTTAAATGACCATAGCTGTTGATAGGATGTTAAACAATACTTAACCAAACCAAACCCGGTAGAACTAAATTAATAAGTTGGAAAAACTTACCGACTAATCCCTTTGTCAATATGATGTCAATAAAATACGAAACACATTGTAACTAATGGTTAACATACATTTGGAAATTGACTATAAATATTAACCGTTATAACACATACATATGCATGTTCCAGATATATAAACTGATCTTATGACTTCCAATATCACTGGAATACAGAGGCTTTTCATTTCACAGACCTATGCTTAACGCAGGATGATTACATACACATTATCTATTCTACAGCATCAACAGTAACAACTACACACCTGTACACACTTACACATACACTCTATAACATGACGTGAGGTACACATCAGCACAGGTAAATATATTACAGATGTATGTACATTATCTATTCTACAGCATCAACAGTAACAACTACACACCTGTACACACTTACACATACACTGTATAACATGACGTAATGTACACATCAGCACAGGTAAATATATTACAGGTGTATGTACATTATCCATTCTACAGCATCAACAGTAACAACTACACACCTGTACACACTTACACATACACTGTATAACATGACGTGGCATACACATCAGCACAGGTAAATATATTACAGATGTACTGATTATACAATATTATATTATTTATACATTCATGACATAATAAAGAGTTTGTGGTTCAAGGTTTCTCATTGCAACATTCTTGGATATTTCTTAACCATGAACGATCATGACTCAGGGTTTTAAATGAAGCAGCAGAATCCTGCTTCAAATACCCCAATTTTACATTACAGGACCCTTAAAATCTTAATTAACACCTGTGTCCCCATGACCCCCCTTAAATGACCACTTAAAAAATTCCAGTCTCCAAATTTTAATGATATATATGACTTAATGCAATGAATACTGAAAATAATCATTTATGAGGAACCAAAAGATTTATTTAGGAGTCCCAATTTTCAATCACGGGGTCCCAAGACTCTTAAAGTCAGAATGGGATGTAAAACATTGATGCTTGCATATTGTCATCTTGTATGAAGCAACTACAATGTTAGAAAGTTAGTAGGAGAATATAACATTGGTAAATTAGGGTCAATATGGAAAATTTTGTGATAACATTTCTTTGATTGGTTTTGTAAATGGTTGTTGATACTTAATGGATGTAGGTGTTGCTTAACTCATTTACCCCTGAAGACACATTTGAACTCTTCCAATTCAAAGGTTGGAATAGTTCATTATGAAATTTCAGGGGTGGAGGGGTTAAATAAGTAAATATAACTGCATATTCAACTTCATTGACATATTAATATACCTGTTTGCTTCATTTATGTAAAATACATTATCCCTACTTCAATTCACCTGAAATATAACATGCCTGCTTCAAATTCTAATAAAATGAGACTCAATTCCATAATTGTTTGTTTCTTTTCCAGATTGGCTTCAATGCAGAACATTCCTGGTGAGTTTTTCTGTCCTACGTCACATAGACCAGATGTAGTATACATGCTATACAGTCAAATCAGTGCTGACTGTCACCACCCCTGTCTAGAAGATCTTTACACCTGCTAGGTTCCATTGTCTCCTCACTGTTGTAAATATTAATATAAGGTGTTTTAATTCATTGAAATTGAAATGCGTCATTGATTTAAAGCTGATATTCATAGTTAAATGTATTCAGTCACAGATTTAAGAAAACTATCTTGAAATGTTTTCTCAATTTTGCAACAGGTCAAGGTCTTCTATTCTTAATCTTTCTGTCTGGTTTTATAAGTTGAAAATGGCCACCTTGTGTCGACTCCCATTTGAAATTTGAAATCAAATTTCATGGACAAAACTCAAAATTGATAAAATTCATGTGTCATGAAACACGAGACCATGTAATGAGATACTGGTATTTTACCCCTGAAGGGTAAATATTTGACTTGAGGAAAGTTCCTGCTATATATGGACGCCTCAATTTGTGTTTGGCAGTACGCACTTACTGTATATACACACCTGTTAAAAATGGTGACAGTCAGAGCTGGTTTAGCTGTATTGTATAGAAACATTATGTTTTCCAATTTGAAAATTATTTAATAAATGAATTTATCATTTTGCTAGATTCTCAACTATCAGTATCTGATTTAGTTTGTAGTTATTATATCTCCTTTATCTGAATTAATATCTCCAACAAAAAATGTAATTTACGCCATACATTTGTCCATTAAGATCAGTGAATTTTATACTGCGTTTTGTGAAAATATCAATGTTATAACTTTGAAATTAATTTAATATTGTTTTAAACCATTTATAAATATATAACTAATATTAGAATTAACTGGTTGGTAAGATTTTTTTTATTCGAGTACCATTTTTCAAAAAGGTATTATAAAGGAAATCGAATGTACAGTACATGTAGGACTATTAACTTATTTGCATAGAAAATTTTCAACTAATGTTAATCAATGTGCATAATTTATATGTGATATTTTGTTGATCCTAAACTGATGATTTTGCCATTGTCTCATTAGATATTAATAACTGATATTAATTGCTGTAGTTAGTTTCTTGTTGTCTCTATGTGACAAGATGTGGAATTCATGTTTGTGCATGTTTCATCAAGATTTGCCTACTGTCAACATACATGAAAATTGATATGTCTCTATTAACGTAGCAAAAACAGTGACATCTTTGTTGTTAGATAATAACATATCTGACTCATAGTATTTGCTTCTATTTTCACAATTATATGCCAACTGAACATAGACACTGACATTTTATCTAATAATTTGGAGTTAACCTGTTTAGTTTATACAACATATTTCACTCACATGTACGTGTGGTAGAATACAATGTAGTTTATTATAAAAATTTCACACAAGTTTAAAAAATCTTTCATGTCATAACAGGTACATTATATCCAAAAATAAGAACATTTTTCCACAAGATTTCCCTACTCGCGAGGTACATGTATAATTATTAGTGAAGACGTGTTTATCTGTGTGACAGTTTTTACCCAGGTTGAGGGTTCCCAGTTGACATAGACTTGTAGTGGTGTAATATGTAACAATAAATTTTGTTTTGAAATATTATAAGACTTTCATTCCTTTGAGTGTAGGATAGGGAAATTCCACCCGAGGGGTTTTCAAAATTTGAAAATTCCCGATCTTTTTTGGGCATGAAAGAGTATTTTATTTCTCATTCCAACCACCAGAATAAGCTCAGAAACCATAAAATTGCTTTTGGACTGGCTTGAAAATATCAAATTTTTTTGCTGTGCCTTTTAAACGAAAACAAATCTGTCAGCCAGATTAAGCATACCCCATATTTGCAAACAGAGTTTGCAATGAAAAATTAATCACATCTTTCTAACATATACGGTAAATATATCGTAAAAGGTTTTAATTTCATTACGTCGCCTTTTCCGCATTGCGGCATCAAAGATTTCCAAATTCATGACATCCCGTCAGTGATCAACCATTGTCACGTCACATGTAATGGGGTGTAATATAGAAATTTCTTATTCCCCTTTCTTATCTGGGACAGCTCTATCTTACACACACGGAAATGAGAGAAAATTATATCAAAGTCAAGGTCATGCTGTTACCTTAGGTGGAATTTTTGCAGCATTTAACAGGATTTCATAAATAGATTGCCCGATTCCTGATAAGGTGTATGTTGTTGACAGTATTCAGATCTTGGTGTCTTAACCAATACCTATGTCAGATTCCATATCCAGCACCTGTTACATACAAACAAAACAAAAAATGAAGGAATCTGTCTGTCATTGGAACTTGATATTTGATATAATTAAATTTTATTTGACAGTTTCAATCTATTGAGGGAGAAAAAAGAAAAATTAAAAATGATTACAAACTGAGAAGAGTGGAAATTTATTTCAAATGTTATACTTTTATACGAATTGACTGTTTCATTGTTAAGGGCCTCATGGAAGTTAATAGCTGAATGGGTTATTTTTGTTGCATAGGACACATCTAGTATGTTATACTGTTGGTGCATGTGTAGTATAGTATTGTATTTATGTGATGTAGCCGTGAGTAGTACTGTACCGTTCTCAGTGTATATAATCTTAACTGTATATCTCTCACTCCTCCTCACTTCCTATTGTACCTTTATTGTCCTTTGCTGTGTATGAATTAACTCATACACCCCTGAAATTTCATAATGAACTATTCCAACCTTTGAATTGGAAGAGTTCAAATGTGTCTTCTGGGGTGAATGAGTTAATGTTGATATTTTCTGTGAACCTGGAATTTACCCATGCTTTTCATGCATGCCATACTGTGTCCATATTTATAAGACTTAAATGTCAAATGTCATTTTATTTTCAAAATTATTTTAATAATTATATATTTTAACAGATTTTGATCAAACTTTGTGCTAAGGTTGAGTATAAGAACACCTCAGACAGTTTCATATTTCAAGGAACCAAGGTCAAGGCCACAGTTATTATTTTTGTATGAAACCTGGTGCAGGTGATCATCTCATAGCCGCATGACCATTTGTTTTTGAGATGATGAAAAAATTCAAGATGGCTACCTTCACCTATGCAAGACATTTTCAACTTCTTCTCATTTATCTTAAATCTAAGATTGCAACCCTGACAATTGATTGGCTGAGATTTGTTTTCAACCCCCAAGGCCACTGGCTCAACTTTGATCAAATTGGATACAAACATGCCTCTCACTGCCCAAATCAGATTTTGATATTGTAGTTATTTGTATCCATAAGAAATCAGAGATGATCACCATGGACATCACGTCTAAAATTCATGGAAACATACCTTTCAACTTTCGAGAAAGAAATTGAACCCTGGCCATCTTGGTAAAAGGCGTTTGTGCTACCCACTATGCCCCCCGACCACTCCTTACATGAGTTTATCAGTTGTCTAATGAGCAATACCGACCCCTTGAACCTCTTGTTTATAATAATACTCCAGTTCTATTTCCAATGTCCATTTCTGTAACCATACCCAACATGGGTTACCATGTTCACGTCTTTATTCCTACCATTGTCTCTCATTACCATACTCATTCACTGTATGTAAAACTTTTTTTAGGTCACCTGAGCTTTAGCTCAAGTGACCTATTGCTATCCGTTTTCGTCCGTCGTCGTCCGTCGTCCGTCGTCCGTCGTCCGTTAACATTTTACATTTCAAACTTAAAGTCAAGTTCTGCTGGGCCGATTGAACTGAAAGTTGGTAGGAATGATCGCCTCATGGTCCTGACAAAGTGTTGTTATTTTTCGGGTCGATCAGAAATCCAATATGGCCGCCACGGCCGCCATTTTGAAAACCTATTTCAAACTTAAAGTCAAGTTCTGCTGGACCGATTGAACTTAAAGTTTGTAGGAATGATCGACTCATGGTCCTGACAAAGTGTTGTTATTTTTCAGGTCAATCATAAATCCAATATGGCCGCCACGGCCACCATTTTGAAAACATATTTCAAACTTAAAGTCAAGTTCTGCTAGGCCGATTGAACTGAAACTTTGTAGGAATGATTGACTCATGGTCCTGACAAAGTGTTGTTATTTTTCGGGTCGATCAGAAATCCAATATGGCCACCACGGCTGCCATTTTGGAAAACTATTTCAAACTTAAAGTAAAGATCTACTTGGCCGATTGAACTGAAACTTTGTAGGAATGATCGAATCATGGTCCTGACAAAGTGTTGTTATTTTTCGGGTCAATCAGAAATACAATTTGGCTGCCATGGCCGCTATTTTGCTACTAAGTTCTAATAGGCCGATCTCACTTAAAATTGGTCTAGGAATGATCAGCTCATGGTCCTGACAAAGTTAAGTTAACATTATACTATTTTTTACTCAAATTGGTACATATTTCAACAACAAAAATAAATACTATAGACTCAGGTGACCGTTAAGGCCCATGGGCCTCTTGTTTAGTTCCAAGCCTCTGAGAATAAATATAATTTACTCTGTTTAATCATTCTGTCCTGTAATGTTCTTATGAGTTATCATGGTTGATCACTTGGTCTGTTAGCGTATTCATGTCATTTTATCTATCATTCTTCATCTCTAAGTCTGTCTCAAGTTAATTTTCCATGTCCTTTTTCCGTATCATTCCTGATCTTCAAGGCTGTACCAAGTTGAACATGATTTTCCATATCCTTTTTCTTATCATTCTTTATCTTTGAGTCTTTATTAACAAATATTCATGTTTTTAATCTCTGGATGGATCTGTATAATCATGATGTTCTATGTGCTTTTTCTTATGTATCTTAGTTGCTCCCTGAATCTGTATCGTGTTCCATACGCTCTCTGCTCATTCTCAGTCTCTGTGTATACAGATACATTGTCACAGTGGCTAGTGGCCTACCACCTATAGTATACTCTATTCTTATATGAGTGATCAGGGTTCTGACATCCTGTATTCTGATTTCTCTATTTACCGCATTAGATTATGCCTTTGTGTGTGTTTATGCCATTTTCTATTGTATTTCCATGTGATATTGCTGCATGGCTTCGAAATGTTGTCTTTGGTCATTGCTGCATTTTCTCCTTTTTGGTTTATTTTTGCTATATTGAAAATTTGGACGGTATATGGCAAGTGTGAATATTTTTTACACACGGTATTGAAAGATATTGAAAGTATTTTTATCAATCAGCCGTAGAACTATTCATCAACATCACCAACGTATTACTCATGGGAGTTGTGGGTATCTGATTTATAGCTATAGTCTCACCCAAGTTTAAACCAACTGGAACATCTAGAGAGAGATATAGTCTATTTTATTGAAGGTCAGAATCATGCACCAAATGTGGCAGATTATCAGTTTGTTACATTAACATAGAGTAAATGAAGACCCCTTCATGGACAATTGTTTCCTATGGAAAGTGTAGAATAAAAAACTTTTGATTTGGCCAATCATGATGTATGACTGCCAGTATAACTTGATCGGTTATTATCAGGCATGTACAGACTGATAAAATATCACAAGTTTGTGACCTCCCATATGAATTGTTAGATATTAAGATCTAGATAGAATCACAACTAGTTTTGGGGATTGTCAGTGTACTATACCCTATACAATGTAATTGAGAATACCTGGGTAAGATGAATTCAGGAAGTACATAGAGATGTCAGTGTAAATATGCCCTATACTAAGTAATATAGAATACCTGGGTAAGATGAATTCAGGAGGTATATGGAGAGTTACAAAATGAATCATTTGATTGAAGATGCCCATTTTGAAATGGTTTTGATACTTGCCCACGTTTCAAATTTTTCATGGGGAGAATTTGTGTGGCAAAATCTGAAATCTGAAAAGCAGTTATGATAATCAATGTATTTTACAAAGTAGTAAACTAGTGGTGTAGGATGTCTTAGTTTAAGGTGTTTGTATGATGATTTGGTTTTGATAAAAAATATATGGAATTTCGTGGATTCAAAAATGAAAATGAGGGATACAAATTAGGAGTCACTGTCAAAAGTAGTAGGAAGTATTTGGAAAGTGTCAACATCTGCATCGCTTCATAGGGGAATGCTGCATTAGGTAGGCTTTTATCTGAAATGAAACATATCGCAGTGTTCAGTGGATGGCAATTTGTTGAAATGTTTTCCAGTAGGTCCTATGTTAGTGTTAAGATTGTGTACATATTGGTAAAAGTTATGTTAAAGTGTTAGTGATTATATTTCATCGTGTAATCACACACACATAATACAACCATAAATTTGTAATACTCATGACACATTTAATGTCTGTAAAATCGAGTTTGCATATATCTAAACTAAGATGTGTTTATCATTTAGATTATTGCAGTACACAACCTTTTTGAGGTTCATTCTAAATCACAGTCGTGAGTCAGATATGTATTTCTGTGAGAGAATAATCCAAACTGGATGAAAGAGTAAAAATGAGAAATTGCATTGAGAGTGCTTCATGCTGCTTGGGCCCTATCGTCTTCAGACGACCTGGTCATTGATGCTAATTAACAGGAATGAATTCACATAAAATTGCAGGATGCAGTACGTAGCTTGTCAAAGATAACTGGTTGTGAATAGCTGTCATTAAAATATAGGAATTAACCAACTGTCGATTATATTTCCGTAAACAAACTAACATAACATATATATACTTATCAATACAATTATACTGCTAAAATGGGTGTTTTGTGAAAGATTTTTTTTTGTAGCTTTTCCTATATAAAATGTATGTAGCTAGACCAAGTTTATGTAGATAACACGTTGGTGAGTGGCTAGTGTTGACACAGTAAGAGTATATGATTGGTGCCACCGGACTGATGTCAAGATCTTGATTGCTACAGGGCTGATGCACCCATCATGGCCCATCTATGGGAGTATTCCAGTGTTGAGGACAAGTTCAAGTTTGGGTATGCCATGTACCGTACTGCCACACCTGTTCTTGTATAACCTTGTTTTTGCTACTCTTTCCATCTTCCTCCTCCACCTTGTATTCAGCATCTTCAACATCTGCCTAGAGCATGTACCGAACCCTCCTTATTTATCCCTATTAATAATTAAAATTTTAAATCCTGAAAGATCATCCAAATTTGACAACAAAGATTTCTTTAAAGTCATATAAAAGAATTCAAAAACAATTCTAAGAATTTTTCAACAATTTTCATATGCATTATGTACTTCTTTCAGAAGTTGATTAAAATTTCCAAAAGGTCCTATTAGCAGATGTGGAATTTCAAAGTTAGTGTTACATCTAGGGAGAGATGTTGAAAGTGGCTGAGAGTTATTAAGCACCTGCTAGCTATACTAACCCCGTCCGGGAACTAGTGTGGTGTAACACAGAATGGTAGGCTGCATCCATTTGTGTTAGGGTGACTAATGTTTGGCTGACAGCTTGACCAATACAGAGTATGGTGTTACACTTCCAGGTATCAGATTGAGAGCATATTAGGCAAGCACTAGTATAATAGGAGTAGCAATTCTTTACCTTAAGCTTTTATTAGGTTGCTGTCCTTCATTGCAAAAAAAAGAAAAGTAAAAAATATACCGAAATCACCTTGTTCAGACACTTTGTACATTGTCCATAGTTAAATGTGACCCTACACCCATATATGGGACCTCAGTCCATAGTTAAATGTGACCCTACACCCATATTTTGGACCTCAGTCCATAGTTAAATGTGACCCTACACCCATATATGGGACCTAAGATGTTGTAACACGATATCAAGTGGTGTGAACACGTCATCTGTTGTCATTGGAACAGCTGTGTGCCTTAACTTCATGTAGCATTTGTTACAGCCTTCTAATTTCGTTGCTGTCACTGCACGAACTAATACATGAAATAACATTTTTTTTTTGTAGCTTGGCAAAATCACTGCCTGAGTTTAGTATTGATGTAGTTATATCTAACATTATCTGATCATGTTCTATCTGTACCCTCATGTATATATATACACAACAGGGCCGACGCACCTGTCATGGGCCATCTCTGGGAAGTATCAACGGCAGATGATCGCAGTCTTGGGTAATACACATAACGTCATCTATATTGACTTGCTAACACAACGGTATCTGTGTTTAGTGGACAACAGTAAGGGTTGGGGGAACCAAGGTTGGGATTTGTTTTGTTGTAATAAGAACATGACAAAAGGTAGACTGGTACACTACAGATGGTGTAAGCTGCTCAGCTGATGGAAAATCTGATACTTAGTGTTGATTTGGGGTTTAGTGCTCGGTACATAAGGAATTTGATACTCAGTATAAAGGTATCTGATGCTCAATATAGAAGGTATCTGGTACTCAGTATAGAAGTTGTCTGATGCTTAATATAGAAGGTATCCGATGCTCAGTATAGAAGATATCTGATGTTCAATATAGACGGTATCCGATGCTCAATAAAGAAGGTATCCAATGCTCAGTACAGAAGTTGTCTGATGTTCAATATAGACGGTATCCAGTGCTCAGTATAGAAGTTGTCTGATGCTCAGTACAGAAGGTATCCAATGCTCAGGACAGAAGTTGTCTGATGCTTAATATAGAAGGTATCTGATGCTCAATATAGAAGGTATCTGATGCTCAATATAGAAGGTATCCAGTGCTCAGTATAGAAGGTATCCAATGCTCAGTACAGAAGTTGTCTGATGCTCAATATAGGAGGTATCCGATGCTCAGTACAGAAGCTGTCTGATGCTCAGTATAGAAGGTATCCAATGCTCAGTACAGAAGTTGTCTGATGTTCAATATAGACGGTATCCAGTGCTCAGTATAGAAGTTGTCTGATGCTCAATAAAGAAGGTATCCAATGCTCAGTACAGAAGTTGTCTGATGCTAAATATAGAAGTTATCAGGTCCTCAGTATAAAGGTATCCTGTGCTCAGTATAGCAGGTATCTGATGCTAAATATAGAGGTTATCAGGTCTTCAGTATAAAGGTATCCTGTGCTCAGTATAGCAGGTATCTGATGCTAAATATAGAGGTTATCAGGTCTTCAGTATAAAGGTATCCTGTGCTCAGTATAGCAGGTATCTGATGCTCAATATTGAAGGTATCCAGTGTTCAATGCAGAAGTCGTCTGATGCTAAATATAGAAGTTATCAGGTCCTCAGTATAAAGGTATCCTGTGCTCAATATAAAGGTATCTGATGCTCAATATTGAAGGTATCCAGTGTTCAATGCAGAAGATGTCGGATGCTCAATATAGACGGTATCAGGTGCTCAGTATAGAAGGTTTCTGGTTCTTGGATAATATTGCTCATTTGCTGAATCTGATCATTTTTGGGGGATTAAAATTTAGATTGGTAAAAATTGTAAGGGAAGAAGTACTAAAACTATACTAATGGAGATATACCTTGTGCTCACACCTTGTTATTCTAACTTAAAATTTCATTGAATTTCACTGATATTAGTTTCATGACAAACTAAACCCTCGGAGATTGTGGCAGCTGTGACTTTTCACACTATTATTTTGACTTTAATGTGGAAGATTCAATTGTGTGCTGTGTTGAATTTGCTTTTTCAAGATTGTTTAAGTCTGTAGACTAGTGGTACTTGTTTTGAAAGATTCACTTTCATGTTAGATTAATTGATTCACACCCCAGTTCTCTAGTGGTCCATATTTAGAAACATTTCCTATTCTGTTAAATTCACATAACGTATACACTGCATTGCAGTGTTAATAGTGAATGTATACACTACATTGCAGTGTTAATGGTGAATGTTTACACTACATTGCAGTGTTAATGGTGAATGTATACACTACATTGCAGTGTTAATGGCAAATGTATACACTACATTGTAGTGTTAATGGTGAATGTATACACTACATTGCAGTGTTAATGGCGAATGTATAAACTACATTGCAGTGTTAATGGCAAATGTATACACTCCATTGTAGCGTTAATGGTGAATGAATACACTACATTGCAGTGTTAATGGGGAATGTATACACTACATTGCAGTGTATACATTCACCATTAACACTACAATGTAGTGTATACATTTGCCATTAACACTGCAATGTAGTATATACATTCACCATTGACACTGCAATGTAGTCTATACATTTGCCAATAACACTGCAATGTAGTGTATACATTCCCCATTAACACTGCAATGTAGTGTATAAACTCAACATTAACACTGCAATGTAGTGTATAAACTCAACATTAACACTGCAATGTAGTGTATAAACTCAACATTAACACTGCAATGTAGTGTATAAACTCAACATTAACACTGCAATGTAGTGTATAAACTCAACATTAACACTGCAATGTAGTGTATACATTTGCCATTAACAATGCAATGTAGTATATACATTCACCATTAACACTGCAATTTAGTGTATGCATTCACCATTAACACTGCAATGTTTACCATTAACACTGGAATGTAGTGTATACATTCACCATTACACTGCAATTTAGTGTATACATTCATCATTAACACTGCAATGTTTACCATTAACACTGGAATGTAGTGTATACATTCACCATTACACTGCAATTTAGTGTATACATTCATCATTAACACTGCAATGTTTACCATTAACACTGGAATGTAGTGTATACATTCACCATTAACACGACAATGTAGTGTATACATTTGCCATTAACACTGCAATGTAGTATATACATTCACCATTAACACTGCAATGTAGCGTATACATTTACCATTAACACTGCAAGGTAGTGTTAATGGTAAATGTATACACTGCAATGTAGTGTATACATTCCCCATTAACACTGCAATGTAGTGTATTCATTCACCATTAACGCTACAATGGAGTGTATACATTTGCCATTAACACTGCAATGTAGTATATACATTCACCATTGACACTGCAATGTAGTCTATACATTTGCCAATAACACTGCAATGTAGTGTATACATTTCCCATTAACACTACATTGCAGTGTTAATGGTAAATGTATACGCTACATTGCAGTGTTAATGGTAAATGTATACGCTACATTGCATACTACATTCCAGTGTTAATGGTGAATGTATACTCTACACGCTACATTGCAGTGTTAATGGTAAATGTATACGCTACATTGCAGTGTTAATGGTGAATCTATACACTACATTGCATACTACATTCCAGTGTTAATGGTGAATGTATACTCTACACGCTACATTGCAGTGTTAATGGTAAATGTATACGCTACATTGCATACTACATTCCAGTGTTAATGGTGAATGTATGCACTACATTGCAGTTTTAATGGTGAATCTATACACTACATTGCATACTACATTCCAGTGTTAATGGTGAATGTATACACTGCAATGTAGTGTATACATTCCCCATTAACACTACAATGTAGTGTATACATTAGCCATTAACACTGCAATGTAGTGTATAAACTCAACATTAACACTGCAATGTAGTGTATACATTCAACATTAACACTGCAATGTAGTGTATACACTCAACATTAACACTGCAATGTAGTGTATACACTCAACATTAACACTGCAATGTAGTGTATACATTCACCGTTAACACTGCAATGTAGTGTATACATTCACCGTTAACACTGCAATGTAGTGTATAAACTCAACATTAACACTGCAATGTAGTGTATAAACTCAACATTAACACTGCAATGTAGTGTATAAACTCAACATTAACACTGCAATGTAGTGTATACATTTACCATTACACTAAATTGCAGTGTTAATGGTGAATGTATAAACTACATTGCAGTGTTAATGGCAAATGTATACACTCCATTGTAGCGTTAATGGTGAATGAATACACTACATTGCAGTGTTAATGGTGATTGTATACACTACATACTACATTCCAGTGTTAATGGTGAATGTATACACTACATTCCAGTGTTAATGGTAAACATTGCAGTGTTAATGGTGAATGTATACACTAAATTGCAGTGTTAATGGTGAATGTATACACTACATTGCAGTGTTAATTGTGAATGTATACACTACATGCTACATTGCAGTGTTAATGCCAAATGTATACACTACATTGCAATGTTAATGGTGAATGTATACACTAAATTGCAGTGTAATGGTGAATGTATACACTACATTCCAGTGTTAATGGTAAACATTGCAGTGTTAATGGTGGATGTATACACTACAGTGCAGTGTTAATGGCAAATGTATACACTACATTGCAATGTTAATGGTGAATGTATAAACTACATTGCAGTGTTAATCGTAAATGTATACACTACATTGCATACTACATTCCAGTGTTAATGGTGAATGTATACACTACATTGCAGTGTTAATGGTGGATGTATACACTACATTGCAGTGTTAATGGCAAATGTATACACTACATTGCAGTGTTAATGGTGAATGTATACACTACATGCTACATTGCAGTGTTACTGTTGAGTTTATACACTACATTGCAATGTTAATGGTGAATGTATTCACTACATTGCAGTGTAAATGGTGAATGTATATACTACATTGCAGTGTAAATGGCAAATGTATACTCTACATTGCAGTGTTAACGGTGAATGTATATACTACATTGCAGTGGTAATGGTAAATGTATCCCCTACATTGCAGTGTTAAAGGTGAATGTATACACTACATGCTACATTGCAGTGTTACTGTTGAGTTTATACACTACATTGCAGTGGTAATGGTAAATGTATACACTACATTGCAGTGTTAATGGTGAATGTATATACTACATTGCAGTGTTAATGGCAAATGTATACACTACATTGCAGTGTTAATGGTGAATCTATACACTACATTGCATACTACATTCCAGTGTTAATGGTGAATGTATACACTACATACTACATTGCAGTGTTAATGGTGAATGTATACACTACATTGCAGTGTTAATGGTGAATGTATAAACTACATTGCAGTGTTAATGGTGAATGTTTATACTACATTGCAGTGTAAATGGCAAATGTATACACTACATTGCAGTGTTAATGGTGAATCTATACACTACATTGCATACTACATTCCAGTGTTAATGGTGAATGTATGCACTACATTGCAGTGTTAATGGTGAATGTATACACTACATGCTACATTCAAGTGTTAATGGTAAGTGTAAACAATACATTTAAGTGTTAATAGTGAGTGTATAAACTACATTCCAGTGTTTTTGTTTGTTTGTTTGTTTTTTTCTTCATTTTACAAAAACCTGTGTTCCCACATCAACATAATAACATAAACATAGTTGTTTTTCATGTTATTCCTGTATTTATTTTTCATGAATGTGAGTTAACTGATATGTTCCTGTACAGACCATCCAGAACTAAAGACTTCTTGTTTAAATTCACTGAACGGCTAGAGCCAAATTAGACTATTAGGCTAGATTTGTTCATTATAATATCAAGCTATCAACAGTAGAACCCCCAATAGACCTAAAATCGAGAGAAGTGTGTGGATATATTAGTTTAATGGATTTTGTCTAAGCTTTTGTCTGGTTGAGATGAGCACATGCCATTGAATCATCCTGGTGTTTGTTTAACTCAGCTTTCAGTAAATTTCTCCTCAGCGCTGCAAACTAAATTAGTTCATACAGATGTTTATGGCAGTCCAGAATTTGTGCTTTATAAATATTGTACATTCCTCACAGGTTCAAATTTGTTGGCCTCATCAATGATTGTGATGTCAGAGATTTCACACAGAGAATTAATTGGTCCCCAATACTGATTGTGATGTCACCGATTTCACACAGGGAACTAATTGGTCCCCAATACTGATTGTGATGTCACCGATTTCACACAGGGAACTAATTGGTCCCCAATACTGATTGTGATGTCACAGTATTCACACAGAGAACTAATTGGTCCCCAATACTGATTGTGATGTCACAGTATTCACACAGAGAACTAATTGGTCCCCAATACTGATTGTGATGTCACAGTATTCACACAGAGAATTAATCGGTCCCCAATACTGATTGTAATGTCACAGTTCTCAAACAGAGAATTAATTCGTCCCCAATACTGATTGTGATGTCACAAATTTCATTGAGGGAGTTGATTGGTTTCATAGTATGATCAGTTATGAGGTTACATGATCCCTTAATCCTTCCCGGTATTTAGTTGGTCCCAAATGCTGCTTTTTTGTTTTTCAAGATCCCAGCTCTGTTTTTCGTAGATATGTGTTTTTTGCATTAAAGCAAATTCAATTATGAATTTAAATAGTGCTTGACATAACAGTCTTAAGGGTTGGGTTTAATGTGCCCTATTTTTGGCTGGGACAACTCATGGATCTGGGTATGTAAGTTGTTACATTTATAAAATCTATTGATATATGAGAGCACCTATTTCATATACCTACTAACATGTATAGGAATCAGAATAATAGGGTTACTTGAGGTCATCAATGACATCTTTTTATGTAAATAATGCTTCTATTTATTACAAGTTATGTAATGTATAGAGTTGTATCCATTTAACTCTTTATTAATGGCATCGCTTTCTACATATTTATAGTCCAGAACATATCCATAGTGAATATTGATATAAAATGTATTCTGTATGAAATATAATTCACAATATTGATAAATGTTGGTATACGCATCTTACAAATTAAAGTGAAATTAACCCTTTCACCACTGTAAACCATAATGGACTCATCCAGATCAACGATGGTAGAGTCTACTAACGTTACATAGGGGTGAAAGGGTTTAACAATTACTGACATTACAAGTTAAGAACTATCACTTGTGCAAATAAACACTGGTATATTTCTTTGACCCATTGTCGCCAATAGGGATGAAACTACCTGTAAGTGTCAGAGAAGTTTTTGATGGTTCTTAACTTGAAGTATCTCAATATAGGTGCAGTTTCTGTTACGTACATGAAAGCATTTGACTAGACATGCCCAATGTCTGAAATAAGACAAGATTTTAAATTATGTTACGGAATCTTTGTAAGATATGATATCATTATCCAGTATGAAGACATTTTTAACTTGAGACTATATGTGTGGTTGACAGATACAAAGCAGATGGCCACACTAATGGAGAGCCAGAAATGACGCCGCCCAACCCTATCCGTCTAGAGTGGGAACTCCCCAAAACTGTACGTATGCTCCAGCAGCTTGGGTAACTCAACAGTCGACGATCTGGAGCGAAATTCTAAAATTAGTTGGAAGTTGGTTTTAATTAACTTCAAAACAACATGATTTTGTGAATAAAATATTGAATAATTGTGCTTAAAGTAACTTAGATATGATACATAAGGTTTTGAATTCACAAAATTAACAAGAACAGCTCTGGTTGTATTTCAATAAATATTCAGAAACCAGTTAAATTCATGGCTATGCATTTTGACAAATATGAATGAGCTAATTGAACTCATGACTATATACCATATGGTGAATTTAAGTATTTGGCACAAGTGATTCATTGTCATATGAAATTGGTTTGTATCCTTTCTCAGTGTTGAATATTTTGAATACTGTTGTTTAGGGCATACCTTTTTATGTAGGTTTGTGATACCAATACTTTCAGTGTATTTACTATTGTAACTTGTGTTGTAGTGTATTGCTGTGATAGAGAACAGCCTAGAAGTGGCCAACCAGCTTCTCAATGACGTAGACCTCCATATCATCATGCATAATGCTTACGGCAAGGGATTCATGAAGACCTGTCGAGTCAGCCCTGATGCCTACATACAGCTGGCTCTCCAACTGGCCTACTACAGGGTACGATTTACCATCGTATGGCATTGCCACTATATAACTCTACCATATTCAGATGGCATTCATATCAGCTATGAATGCCATTACTCAATTTTAATGTCATCATGCCACTATATTACCCTACCACATTCAGACGGCATTCATATCGGCTATGAATGCCATTACCCAATTTTTAATGTCATCATAAATATGGTATCATAAATGTATTGTTGGATGCCATTGACTCTCCCTGAACAGATGGCTGTTCTGTTCATTTCACAAAAGTATGATACATACACTAATTTGAACTAAATGCTAAATTTTGATAAGGCAATTTAATTTTCTATGAGATTAACATTTTACAAATTATTAATTACGCTAAACAACATTCATACAGTGTCCTAACTAGTCCCAAGGAAATAACTCTAAGAGGTGCTTACCATTTCGGAATGAAAGACAGACATATTCAAGACAATCAGGAGAGTTTGGAAGCAACCTTACTCAAGAGTATGTCTTCCTAGGTGACCGTTTATTACCTCAATATAATTCTTTATTTGTTTATGAGGATTACAGCCAATGGCTACAAGTTGATCTCATGTATGTGTGAGAAACTGTAAAACCCAACACAGACCACATGTGATACTCCAATTAAGGCATGTAGACTGAGCAACAAGAGTAAATGTCTTGCCTAAGGACACAACCACATCCCACCATCCGCGATCACAAATTTGACACACAACCTTCTGAGCTGTGGCACTCTTTGAACAATTCCTCGGTCAAACCATTCTTGTCTGAGTTATCTCCCCTTGATACATCCCTGTCCGCACAGATGCTATAGAATTAGCATAATAGCAGACTGGCAGCTGAAAATGACTTATATCCAGTATATATGTATGACCGTATGGCTGATTTAGTACTATTGTTTATACGACAGTCTGCACAGAAGTTCTGTCTGACCTACGAGTCTAGCATGACCAGATTGTACAAAGAGGGACGTACGGAAACTGTCAGATCATGTACCATTGAGTCGTGTGCTTTCGTCCGATCAATGGATGATCCGAGCAAAACTGTAAGTGTTTAAGAATGTCTTTGTTTTGGTTTGTGATAGAAAAAAAAGAGGAAGCTTTGTTTCAGTTGAACCAAAACTTTATACTTTAGAAGTTTTCCATTTCAAAGTGATTACTATGAAATGATTTTTAGGTTGTAAGAATGTAAGGTCAATGCCATCATTACACTAAACAAAAAAATGTTTCTATCGAAAATGTTCAAATGCTTAGATTTCCTTGCCAAGAGTTTGCTTTTGGTATTTTGCTGTTCCAGTCAAAATAAGGTCACTTACAATATGTAGAACATCTTTGATCTTGTGTCTTAACTTCAAACCTTGTAATCCCTCATGTTTGAACAAACATCAAGGGCAAACTATGTTAGATATTACACAGCTGTTTGAAATCATGCATATTAGTTTTCCCAATGGTGACATCTTACATTCAATTGTTTCCAGGATGCTGATAGAATAAAACTGATGAAAGTTGCGACAGAAACTCACCAGATGGGTTACAGGGATGCCATGACGGGCAAAGGCATCGACCGTCATCTCTTCTGTATGTATGTGGTGTCTAAGTACCTGGGTACAGACTCACCCTTCTTGTCCGAGGTGCTCAGTGAACCATGGAGACTATCAACCAGTCAGGTAAGACCCAACACAAAGATATCGTCACTGCAAAATACAGTAAATTATATGTTTATAATGAGTTTCACAGGACCTCGGTAATTAGTTAGCTATAAAAATAATTTGTTTTATGTAGATTGATCTCTTGCCAGATGAGTGTTCATTTATAGGAAGAGTACAGTAAGTATGGGTGTATAGTGGCAGTGTTTGACGGCAGACATTTGAAGACTTTTGACCAGATGAATTTGTAGTACTGCGAACCAAAGAGACGTGATATTTATTGATAAAAAGTTTATATAATCTCTGTCTCTTAAAACAATATATTCTAGATTTAAAAGTTCATGATTGATAATTTTATGAATTCTAAGAAATATTATTTGACAAATATCTTAAGTTGTTATTCACATTAAAGGACCAATAGTGAAATCCGACACTTTTTCTTTTGATGAAAAATGGCGTTCAACAGATGCCCATTTGTCATGTAATAGTGTCTTTGATTTATAGCTACCTCAAAATGGCTCTCTTGACTGACTGGGTTGGATTTTCTTCAGACATTAACAATTTAACTTTTCATTGACAAATTTCAGACTCCACACCAGCAGACCACCAAGTTGGACTTGGTGAAGCACCCAGAACACATATCAGCAGGAGGCGGGTTTGGTCCAGTGGCTGACGATGGCTACGGAGTGTCCTACATCGTAGCAGGAGAGGACGTCATCTTCTTCCACGTATCATGTAAAGTGTCCTGCCCCACCACTGTGAGTATACCTCCAAGTCACTGTTAACAAACACGCTTAATGTTCATGTTATTTTAATGGTTATAATAATTCGGTACATGTAGTCATTTCTTTTATTAAGATTTCTCCATAGCCAAATTATTCAATTTAATAGATTTTTTAGTCCTTTTTCCATTGGTGACACTACAAGTAATATTTGGTAGTTTTATAAAGTTTTTTATTTTGAGTGATATTTTCTTTCAATACTTTAGCTCATGAAAGATAAAGTTGTTCATTATTTTACTAGTAAAATTTTAGTGGTAATATTATATGAGCACTTGATACTTCAGATAGAATATATTATGTGCTATTTTATGAATGAACTTGCTCATCACCTATTCCGTCTTTGCGTATTGCAGAGTTATCTTCCCTTGGGAGCAGGTATTGATTGTTACGTCATTGGTTTGTGTGAGAAAATTACGTCGTTTTCTCAAAAATTGATGACGTTACTCTCACAAACAAGTGACGTAACAATCAATACCTGCTCCCAAGAGAAGATAACTCTGCAATATGCAAAGACGGAAAATGCTGTGGTAATGTATATAATTATACAAATATACAACTTATGTTTTAAACAAAAAAATGAAAGTAAGATATTTTGCAAACTAAATAAAAATTTAGTGTTTGATCTTTCTATTTGATAAATTAGGATTCAACTTACAAATGATGTTGCCACACAATCACTATTTAATTGATGTAAAATCATCCGTTTTTATTTTTATATGCCAGTCAAATTTGACAGGAGTATTATGGTATGGGGTTGTCCGGCCCACGTAAACTTTCGTTTGTCCGGCAATCTCCTCCTACATTTTTCGACCGATCTCTTTGAACCTTGGTATACATCATAATCATAATATGAAGTTGTGTCTCCCTTAAAAGAATTTCGATTCGACTATTTTTCCAACAGTTATTGCCCTTTGTTCATTTCAGTATTTGATTTTTGTCCGGCAATCTCCTCCTACATATTTTGACCGATCTCTTTGAACCTTGGTATACATCATAATCATGATATGAAGTTGTGTCTCCCTTAAAAGAATTTTGATTTGACAATTTTTCCAAAAGTTATTACCCTTTGTTCATTTCAGTATTTGATTTTTGTCTGGCAATCTCCTCCTACATTTTTCGACCGAACTCTATGAAACTTGGTATACATCATAATCATGATATGAAGTTGTGTCTCCCTCAAAAGAATTTTGATTCAACGATCTTTGCAAAAGTTATTGGCCTTTATTCATTTCTTTATTTGATTTTTTGTCCGGAGATTTTCTCCTACATGTTTTTTTAGCATGTCAGCTAACCACTATTAGAATGATGCAGTTCTTATTTAAATGTAAGAAAGTATATAACACTATATGACATTTGACGGGCTTATATTGTTCTGCCCCGCGGTACTTTTGTTAGTGTGTAAAATAACTGGTCAAAATGTCATTTGTGAAAAAAGCTACAAATTTTCTATTCCTTTTCTTACAGAACTCCAAGAAATTTGGAGACAGCATCAACCAGGCTATGCAAGATATAAAGAACATGTTCTCTAGCCCTCGGTGATAATAGTGTGTGTTTAGTTACTCTAATTGTCCTGTATAATCAGCTCCAACAACATATCTAACAAACCGGCCAACGACTGTGTGGAATTGTCTTCGCTTCATTAGAAGAAAGAAGTTCATTCACAATTGATCTCTGCCGTTCATTCTCCGCTGATATGGTTCTCCTGTTAACACCAGGCTTACCGTTTCGGGAAAGATTTCACAATTTTTTTTTCTTTTAAAAAGTTGATTCCTGGAGTAATGGAGCTGGACCAATCTGTTGTGTTATTTTTTGTGGAAATCGTTTCACCATTATTACCAGAGTCATATTTTAACAAAGAACTTTTTAAAGTTTTCCATCAAATTGATTTATTGTTGGGTATGCTATTGTTTGCAGAAGTTATGTACAAGATAACGTATGAAGCTATCTGTCAGAAAAGACTGCTTGTATATAGGTCATATTTTATATATGAGCCGGTATTAGAACTGGTAATGGGTTAAACAGCAGACTCTAGTGATATTCCACTCATGTTTTCCATGTATGTAAGTTGATTTGAATAATGAGTGCATTTTTTATGTAAATAGTATTTGTTTGAAATCAGTGTTTTCTGTTTGGTTTACACAACGACCAATATGTGTGGAGTTTTCTCTCATTTAGGTTGGCCAAATCACCAAAATGTTTTTACTTTTTTTTTTTCTCTTGAGATAAAATGTTCAATACAGGACCAAAGCTAGCCTTTACTGAATCAAATATAACAAAGCTTTAGTCTGCTCTGCTCTATTTTGGACTCCTTTCCTTAACCCTTTTACCACTGTAGACCATAATGGACTCATTCATATCAATGCATGGTCGAGTCTACTAAAGCTACATAGGGGTGAAAGGGTTAAATGTGTACTGCTTTAAAAATGTATTTATTTGTTATGTCTAAAATGGAACATGGAAACATAAAACAGCTGTGTTGCTGTGATAAATTTCATAACACACTAGATTATGTTCATATGTTAATTGTTTATCATGTGTGTTTTAAACTGCCTTTAAAATGTTTCATCATAAATTGTTTTGCAAAAGCAGAACTATTTGAACAAATTGTTGCCCGTTTTGGATGGATCCTGTGTAGTAAAACAATACAAACAATTCAAAGGTATTTTTTTTTATTATAAAACCTGTATCCCTGTTTGTGAATACTCATTTACTGGTAGACTTATACATGATAACACATCTTTGACAGAAATGCTCATTGTAGACAGGTGCCATTTTAACACAGGTAAAAGGGAGTGTAGTATTTGACTTAAAGAACTGTCATTAAGTTTCCTGGTTAATCTTGAGATTTGTTTTCCTGAAATAAATCTATATTTTACTGCTGTTGTCTCCACATCCTATTTTCTGGTCATGAAATATATATATATATAAGTTTTACACATTTTTGTTGATATTTGAATACTGTTGATATTATCAGCATCCTTGCCAAGAGGTTGAGAGGTAGTCAAAAAAAACAAAAATTGAACCCAGAGCTACACTCAAAAATAAGTCTTTTAGAAGGTTTGGTTTGTCCACTGTGCTAATAAGTCAAACAATTAATGTATAATGATATGTTATATTTTAGAATACCATTATGTGATATTATTATATTGACATTTGATCAAGTTTAACTACTTGTTTACATGACTTGTAAACTGTATCTTTTATCAGGATTGTAAAATATAACTGTAGACATTCCAAAACATTTTCTTTATCGAACACGATCCCGGTGTGTCGATGTTTGTAATGTCAAAGAGACATTTCACAAGTGGAGATAACCCAACAATTTGTAGCTTGTGCTATCTTTGGGATCCCCTAACACTTCCAAAATCTAACCAAATGTTGGAGAGAGAGCGAGAAAATGTGCATGACTATATAGCTTTGATAAATCATTTCTACAAAGAAAACCATACAATGCAAGGACTTCTAAGAGAAATGATGAAGATGAAATAAACAAAACATAATCAACAACAGTGTTCTGAATGGGAAAACAAGTCAGCAGGAGTAGACGGGGTGCAATGGGACTGGCATCCTTCACTAGCTATTTATCAGGTTATCTCCCCGGAGTGTACATCAAAGAGGAAAAAAGTTGTGCATTTTCTGGCATTTCTTAATAAATTTTTGTGTAAATATTTTAGTTTCAATATGTGATTAACTCAAGGAATTTACTATAACTGCTTTTAAACTTGCTAAACTTGTTTTATTTAATGTTAACTGATGCTTAGATGTGTTTATATCAGGTGTTAAGGTTTTACTCGTCAGCCACATCAATGCATTAAGTAACCCCAAATATGGAAAAGGAGACAGTGGTGAGGGGGCTTCAGAGCAGTTCTGTTATGTTTGCACTTCTAGTTATTTATCACCTATTTGTGAACTTGTTTGTTGACCAATGCAGTAGAATAATAATTAAAATCAACATTATATTTAGCTATGTGGCAATTTAGACCTTATTTAGTATCAGAACTAACTTTTAATGTATGAACTAAATTGGCTTATAAAGGTTGTTTATGAAAGTTGGGATTTTTTTTTATGAATTATATGTTATCAAATTAAATTAATTTTTTTTTGTTTGTATTGATTTATTCCAGACTAGGTTAACTTTTTTCTGAAAAAATCTATAAATTCACCCCATTTATACTACCAAAGCATCTGTATACCAAATTTTTACTTAGAAGGTAGATTTCAGAAGAAAAAAACACCTTTATAATGCTAGTAATGATACAACAGATTTATGGTGGTAAAGATTACTGGCAGTTACTGTCTACCTGAGTACATTTCTGGGTATTATTACTAGTGGAGAGAAACCAATTGTTATTTTAATTTTTATCAAGCGTAATCAATGCAAATTATTTGTGTGTTATATAGTTTTACACTTTGTGTCAATCTCCTGTCCATTCTCCACTTCATTTGTAATATGCATACTGATGTTAGGCTGAAAAGCTTAACATAGAGAATTCGGTGAATATTTATAACAGTGTGGGGTGCTGTGTGTGATATTAGGGAAATAATAGTTTGTGTTTTAGTGATAAACTACAATGACACAATTAAACTGTACAGTGGTATTCCGAGTTTGTGTTTTAGTGATATACTACAATGACATAATTAAACTGTACAGTGGTATACCAAGTTTTTGTTTTAGTGATATACTACAATGACATAATTAAACTGTACAGTGGTATACCGAGTTTGTGTTTTAGTGATATACTACACTGACATGATTAAACTGTACAGTGGTATACTGAGTTTGTGTTTTAGTGATATACTACAATGACATGATTAAACTGTACAGTGGTATACTGAGTTTGTGTTTTAGTGATATACTACAATGACATGATTAAACTGTACAGTGGTATACTGAGTTTGTGTTTTAGTGATATACTACAATGACATGATTAAACTGTACAGTGGTATACTGAGTTTGTGTTTTAGTGATATACTACAATGACATGATTAAACTGTACAGTGGTATACTGAGTTTGTGTTTTAGTGATATACTACAATGACATGATTAAACTGTACAGTGGTATACTGAGTTTGTGTTTTAGTGATATACTACAATGACATGATTAAACTGTACAGTGGTATACTGAGTTTGTGTTTTAGTGATATACTACAATGACATGATTAAACTGTACAGTGGTATACTGAGTTTGTGTTTTAGTGATATACTACAATGACATGATTAAACTGTACAGTGGTATACTGAGTTTGTGTTTTAGTGATATACTACAATGACATGATTAAACTGTACAGTGGTATACTGAGTTTGTGTTTTAGTGATATACTACAATGACATGATTAAACTGTACAGTGGTATACTGAGTTTGTGTTTTAGTGATATACTACAATGACATGATTAAACTGTACAGTGGTATACTGAGTTTGTGTTTTAGTGATATACTACAATGACATGATTAAACTGTACAGTGGTATACTGAGTTTGTGTTTTAGTGATATACTACAATGACATGATTAAACTGTACAGTGGTATACTGAGTTTGTGTTTTAGTGATATACTACAATGACATGATTAAACTGTACAGTGGTATACTGAGTTTGTGTTTTAGTGATATACTACAATGACATGATTAAACTGTACAGTGGTATACTGAGTTTGTGTTTTAGTGATATATTACAATGACATAATTAAACTGTACAGTGGTATACTGAGCTTGTGTTATAGTGATATACAATGTACTACAATGACATAATTAAACTGTACAGTGGTATACCGAGTTTGTGTTTTAGTGATATATTACAATGACATAATTAAACTGTACAGTGGTATACTGAGCTTGTGTTATAGTGATATACAATGTACTACAATGACATAATTAAACTGTACAGTGGTATACCGAGTTTGTGTTTTAGTGATATATTACAATGACATAATTAAACTGTACAGTGGTATACTGAGCTTGTGTTATAGTGATATACAATGTACTACAATGACATAATTAAACTGTACAGTGGTTTACCAAGTTTTTGTTTTAGTGATAAACTACATTGACATAATTAGTCGGGGTTAGTTGGGTTTATTAGCTTTTTTTTTTTGCTTTTTTTAAATTTTAATTTCTGAACATACTTAACCCTTTCACCACTGTAGACCATAATGGACTCGTCCATATCAATGCATGGTAGAGTCTACTAAAGTTACATAGGGGTGAAAGGGTTAAAATTATTTTATGCAATTTAATGGCAAATATTTCTGTGCATGTAATATTCCTTACATCTGTGACAATAAATACTTTGTTGATTACCTGTACAAAGGTTGACACTAGTTAGCTGTTATTGTTATCTTGTTTTTTCATATTTTTCAGTGGCTATTTATATCTAGACAATTTAAGTGAACCTCCTTACTGGACAGACTTTTGTCTCCAGACCTAAACTCAAGATCAGAGGGACGGATACTATTCACATTTTACTTTATGTTTGGTGACTTTTTTCTTCATTTCAATGCAGTAAACTGGAGAGAAAAATAATACAATAGGTACAGCTTTATACTTAATAAAGACTTTTCTCTGGCAACTAATTTCCAACTATTACAGTTCAGGTTAATGAAGGTCTTTTCATTGTATATTTGAAGTATCCTTAATCATATCTGCTGTTCTTGTTAATTTTATAATTTGTACTGCTAAAAATTTGACAAATTTGACAAATCTTGTGATGCTGCAGACATTGCTGATGAAGAGGTGGAATAAAACTAATCCTTGAGGAGTTTTATTTATTAGGTGATGGACAGTTGTTGTGTAAACGTACATTTTATGTTCTAGTATTTATTAACAAAGTATACATGGACAGGGGAGCTAACCCATGTGAACATACTCTTATATAGGTATTATTTTTACTGTACATGTCTATGGGCTGATAGAAAAGATAGTAAATTATATAAATATCATAGTAAATGTTTGCAGTGTCTATCCTGCCCATCACTTAGCCAGAATCACAAGATACATGCTGATTGTCCTAGTTATGCTCATGTTTTTCCCCTCCCCATCTTGTACTTTCTGTTATTGCTTGAAGAGATGTATTTCCATTGTTTAGATGACATAGTATACGTTCAGGGAGCTTTCATTACAGAATACTTCTAATGTCACAGATCATCACCTTAAAATCAGAAATAAATACCCATTGTTTATGAAACAATTTCGTTCTTTGTTTTCTTTTTTTCTTTGTGAAAAAGGGGGAGGCCAAGAAGAGTAGGGAGAGTAAAGTCCCAAATTTACATGGAAAGTTGTTTTGTTTTTTACTTAAATCAGTCAACCGGAATATAAAGTTACAATTATACATGGAAAGTTTCTTACTGAAACCTGTCAGCCGAGTTATTCCGTCTATGCTTATTGCAGAGTTATCTTCTCTTGTGAGCAGGTATTGATTGTTATGGCATTGGTTTGTGTGCGAGAAAATTACGTCATTTTCTCAAAAATTGATGATATTACTCTCACAAACAAATGACGTAACAATCAATACCTGCTCACAAGTGCAGATAACTCTGCAATACGCAAAGACGGAAGTTCCAAATATACAAGGAAAGTTTCCTACTAAAATAATTTAACCAGAAAATACCAAATGTAAATGAACACGTGACCGTCATTATACATCAAATAACAGCTCGAAGTTTGATGTATCTCTGATAATACTTAAAAAGATTTGTCAGTGTCTCGAATACTCTTCAGAATGACGTATAGTCCTTTTCTCCTTCGAAATACGTTCTGCTGTCATCGTTGTCAAATAAACACGCGTGCTGGCCACCTATGTATGTAACTGCATATTAAACGCGTGACAATCCAAGCCTGCGACTATCACTTGACGTCTACTGTCCGTTTGTAAAAAGGATTTCGTAGATCTTTTTCATAAAGGTTATCCAAATCTTCCACGAGAATGCGCAAGGATAATTTTGTACCCGGTTTTGAAGTGACCCCAAAGAAGTCTGTTAGCGTGGTTCAAGTCCATTTTCAATCAGCAGAAAATCGTCAAACAATGGTCGGAAAAACAGTAAACAAGACTGTGATTCAAACAATAGCCCAGCCTTTTAACACACAAGTATAACCCCGTCATGATAATGCGTGTATTTAGATTTGTAAGTGTATAATATTACTGTTCCTTATTGTTCCGTGAGTCAATGAACCCAACTTTAATACCGTGAAGTAATGAATGTGGCATGCGTATGAAAATGAAATTACAACTATATTTCTGTGTTGGTGTGTTTAACTGATGAAAACAAAACTATTGTCTATTGATAAAAACAGACATAAGAACTTCACACGTCCCTCAGTACTCTATCTAAGAGAATATTATACAAAACCTAGTGGCGGATGGACTGGGCGGATGTTCTTTATCTTTAGAGGGGTGACCCGTAACACCCCCGGATAAGGTCAGATTGGGTGGGGACAAGATGTTGGAGAAAACAAACTCCATTTCCAAGCATGCCAAGTCTCCTTTTCAATTATTTTTGCAATAAATTTGAAATCCAAATTATATATCCCACAATCATATATCAATACATTCTACCACAGACTTAGATAATCTAATTCCGTGATTCTATTATAAAAATGTGTTTCGTATCTGGTTTATCAGTGCCTAGGCCTATAAGGTAACGTGACCTAGATAATAAGTAACCCAATTATTTAAATCAAGTTGCTCTTTTGCAGGTTAAAACATTTTTGACGTGATGTTTTCATTTTTATTTGACCAAAAAGACGCATGCAGCTTATCTCATTTTTCCTGGAAGTCGCATCAGGAGGTCCTGCTCTGCACGTTTACCACAGTTATATATGTGGAAACTAACTATAAGCGACACTAATACAAGCGTGAACTTTGACTCGACAAAGGAAACTTGTCACAGACCAATCGCACACGGCTAACTTGTTTACGTTTATAATCCAAGGTGAGAATTTTGGAAGTGCAAAAAGAGCAGACACATGCGTGTCTATCGCCCATTTATACATGATTATTGACCCATATCATACACAAGTGTATTTACATCGCCGACACGGTAGATCCGGTTAAGACAATCCAGATGCTGTCTAGAATCATAAATTCCCAGAGATCCCTCATTTTTCATCAGTCTAGATAATCCCGGTTGTTGTGGTGGAAAACTGAGTGTCCAGATTACTAAGGTTCCAGTGTACGGAGATACGACATTTTTTTTTTTATTATTATTAAATATGATAAAACGTCTGTATAATCTTGACACAAACATGTGTCTTTATTATTCGCTTATGAAATCAAAGAAATACACAATACTGATCTCATAAAGATTTATTGCACAAATACTGGGTACATGGTATTCTTGTTTTTAACCATGCATATTCTCTATTATGTTTGTAGCTTTGTCCACGGACTGTCCCGGCTAAATTGATCGCTCTTAATGAGATTCATTCTGTACCACATGTGGAAGCGGAAGTTTGTAACCGGAAGGGTCAACTCCCCAAATTTTGGAGGCGTACTCAATGATGGTACGGTCGCTAGAGAACTTGCCCGCCGCGGCAATGTTGAGGAGACACATCCGTGCCCACTTGTGAGGCTGACGGTACAGGTCTTCGACCCGCTTCTGACACTCGATGTAGGACCGGAAGTCGGCGAGCAGCATGTACCTAGAAATGTAACACGTGGTATTATGTGAAAAAACGTCATAAAAACGTATTGTCTTGAATTGTCGATTAAATATTAGATGGTATTAAGATTGTCCAAGCACGTATTGCTTCCGTGAGGTACCGAACTTGTGTACGAGAAGTGTTATTTGAAACTGTATCGGTTCATTCGTATAACGCATTTACACACACTGAGTGACCTGGTCGTTTATGACAAGTGACATGAAAATAAGTAATAATTACCTTATAACGACACGCTTAGTAGTCACGTCCTGTGACACCTACATACATACAAACACGTATTTAACATTTCGCTTTGTAAATATTAGTAGCTTTATGTGTAGCGTTCATGGGATGGTAATACAAGAGCTCAATTTCAAAGCGCTGAATGGAAGCGAAAGTGATACTGACTATTTGAGTGAGTGGCCGACTCAACACTCTCTGTATAGCTATGTTGTTTTGATTGGTTTGGTTTGTTTGTGTTTTACGTCCTATTAACAGCGATGGTCATTTAATGACGTGCCAGGTTTTGGTGGTGGAGGAAACTGCCGACCTACGGACAGTATCTGGCGACTGCCCCACGTAAGCCTCGAACCCGCGACCCAGTGGTGGAGGGCTTGTGGTAGCAGAATGTCTGACCACCGCGGCCCCTGTGTTGTTTTGAAATGTTGTAGTTGTATGGTTGTCATAAATAAAGGTTTCATGTTTTAGGACACCGTTGTTCCTTGATTATATTAATAATTGTTAAAACTCAAGTCCAAAGATTCGAATTAAAGATGACACTAATGATCTCGGGTACTTATTATTTCAAAAACTTTTGTTCAAAATATAAACTGCAGATTATTATCATGTTTGGCGAGGTTCTTTTAAGGTGTCAGACTCCGTGTTAAGGTGTCAGACTCCAAGTTAGGTTGTCAGATTCCGAGCTTGTTTTTCATTTTCCACTTTGTTTCTGTGGCCTCTATATAGCCATTTGGTAATGGCAATCGTGACGTATGTGATTGTATAAAGTGTGATATAAATGGATCTGGTTGTGTTAATTTTGATATATATTTTTTATCTAAAATGTTATGTTTATTTTCATTGTTTAATTCAGTATAGGATAAGCAAACAAATGCAAGTTATGTATTTTATGCTCTGCAATCTTTCTCTTTACAAATACGTATTGCTTCGTTGATGTTCTGAACATTCATCTCTTTTTATGAAATGCAAATTAGCTACACACATCTGATGAAACAGAAATTTCCTGCTTATTGATAAAATGAGCTAGTGGTCAGAAGTATGTAAATAGTAATAAATGCTTGAAGTGCGAAATGTTGATGAACAGCAAACTTTGTCCATTATGTCAACCCGGACTATCACCTCCCGATTAGCAGCAAGTTTTGTCCATAATGTCAACCCGGACTATCACCTCCCGATTAGCAGCAAGTTTTGTCCATAATGTCAACCCGGACTATCACCTCCCGATTAACAGCAAGCTTTGTCCATAATGTCAATACGGACTATCACCTCCCGATAAGCAGAAAGCTTTGTCCATAATGTCAACCCGGACTATCACCTCCCGATTAGCAGCAAGCTTTGCCTTTACATAGCAACATTCTTTGTTTGTATAACGAGAAACTTTTAAAACTTACCCGTCGGAGAATACCAGTTGGTTATAGATGTCCCTAAAGAGCCCATGGTCCTCTGGCGAGAAAAACCCGTTGTTGATTTGGTCAAGGGCTTGCTTCAGTTCCGGATCTTCCTCATAATATTTTCTTGGATAGTAGTTTGGTCTCGCAGCTTCTACCTCGGTCTCATCCATCCCAAACAGGAAGAAATTGTCCTCGCCCACTTCTTCTCGCATCTCAACATTGGCACCGTCAAGTGTTCCAATTGTCAAGGCACCATTCAGCATGAATTTCATGTTTCCAGTACCGGAGGCCTCTGTTCCAGCGGTAGAGATCTGCTGACTAAGGTCTGCAGCGGGGATGACTTTCTCCGCCAGGGAGACTCGATAGTTCTGCAAGAAAACCACCTTTAATTTGCCATGTATTGATTCATCGTTATTGACAACTTCGGCAACATTATTGACCAGCTTGATGATAAGTTTGGCCATGAAGTATCCAGGTGCTGCCTTTCCACCGATCATCACTGTCCTTGGAACGATGTCAAGGTCAGGATTTGCTTTGATCCGGTTGTACAAAGTGATGATATGCAGACAGTTCAACAGTTGACGTTTATATTCGTGTATTCTCTTGGCATGTACGTCAAACATGGAATCAGGATTTACTTCGATATCCGCATGCTGTTTCAGGTATGCAGCCAATCTGGTCTTGTTTTCTCTCTTGGAGTCAATGATCATCTGAATAATTCTAGCATCAGATTGAAATGATTCGAGATTCCTTAGAGAATGCAGATTGGTCGGCCAGTCGGCACCTATGGTGCTACTAATGATCGCTGTCAGAGATGGGTTACATACCAATAGCCACCGTCTCGGGGTAATGCCGTTGGTGATGTTATGGAACTTTTCGGGATACATCTCGTAAAAGTCCTTGAAAATTTTGCTCTTAAGCAGATTGGAGTGAATGCGGGCGACACCATTCACCGCATGAGACCCAACAATGGACAGATGGGCCATGTTGATGCGTTTCTCGTCTCCTTCTTCCACAATAGACATTCTCCGAGTACGGTCATCATCTCCAGGAAAGTGCTGCTTGACATCTTCAAGAAATTGGTGGTTGATAATGTAGATGATCTGGAGATGTCGAGGTAAAACCTTTTCCAGTAGGTGGATGGACCAGCGTTCAAGAGCCTCGGGTAGTATTGTATGGTTGGTGTAGGCGCATGTGTCCTGGACAATCTGCCAGGCATTTTCCCAGGCCAGTCCCTGTTCGTCCACGAGAAGACGCATCAGTTCTGGGATGGCAAGTGAGGGGTGTGTGTCATTCAGTTGCAGAGCAACCTTTTGGGAAAATATTGCAAACGAATTTCTGACACCATCTGCCCCTCCACGTTTAGGGGATTTGTACCGCCTAATTATGTCCTGCAGGGAGGCGGAAACAAGAAAGTATTCTTGTTTTAGACGAAGTTCTCTGCCTTCAAACGCATTGTCATTGGGGTACAATACCCTACTAATGTTCTCGGCCAGATTCCGATCGTACACAGCTTTCAGGTACTCCCCATTGTTGAAGAAGTTGAGATTGAAGCTGTCTGACGCTTTAGCAGACCACAATCTCATGGTGTTTACCGTGTTATTCCGGAAGCCTGGTATTGGCGTATCGTACGGAACAGCCTGGACAATCTGCGTTTTTACCCACTTGGATCCTTCCCCATTTTGTTCGATACTACCGTAGTAATGTACCGGAATAGTAAACTCAGGCCTTGCATTTTCCCACGGATTCCCATACCTCAGCCACTCATCAGGTTCCTCTACCTGCCATCCACCTTTGATCCTCTGTTCGAATATGCCGTAGTCATAGCGGATGCCATACCCATAAGCTGCCATACCTAGCGTGGCCATCGAGTCCATCAGACAGGCAGCCAGTCGTCCAAGTCCACCGTTTCCGAGACCAGCATCTGCCTCGCTGTTCTCAAGTTCCTCCATATTGAGGCCCAGCTTTCGTATGGTGCCATCACATGCTGCTTGTATATCTAGATTAACCATGGTGTTGGTTAGCGTGCGACCCATATAAAACTCCAGTGAAAGGTAATACACGCGCTTCGGATCTTTCTCGTAGTAGTGCTGTTGAGTACGAATCCAGCGGCCAACCAATGTGTCTTTGACAACATGGGCTAGAGCCATGTAGAAGTGCCAGTCCGAGGCATCGTTCCGGTCTTTCGCCATCGTGAAGTGTAGGTGACGATTGAACGCATCCTTCAAAGTAGCGATATTTTCCTGTGGGGCGATGTGTCTGATGCTGATGTGTCTTTTCATAGCATCTTGACCTACTAGTGCCTCAAGGCCGAGTACACCAGGGTGCACAGCGGAGTCCGGGTCTACGGACGACATGCTGGGCGCGGAATGTCGTTAAGGAATGTATATCATGACGTCATAAACATTATTGATTATATTCGACATAACAACTGTGACGTCATAACCATTGTCAGATACTTTAAGGCTGCACAAGCTCGAATGACGGATTTATGTTACTTTCTTTTTATTTCGTTTTCGTTTAGTGTGATAGTACAGACAATGAATTGATGGTTTTGTTGGTGTTGTTTTAATCTTATTTATCCTGAAATAACACAGATTCGTTAATTAAACTTGATTGCTTTAATCACAAAAATCGATTCAATAAATTCGGTAAAAGTATCTCCTTTTCGTGAGACATTTCTCGAGTGTCCTCGTTCCGGTGGCATGTACATTTGAAGCGACGACATCCCCCGTAAATGGAGTAAATTTACAGAAACTAAATTAGTAGCTAGCCCGCGCGACACTGCCGCTTACGACGTTTTCCATACAACGTTTCTGACACTGGTGTTTTGATGGCGACGTGTGTTATCATATATAAATTAAAATAAGAAAAGGAAAAACATACATAATCAGTAATGTTAAAAAAAATGTTTAGTCTGTCTATAACCGTTCATCTTGGCTTTGGTAACTTTTGTATCCCAAAATTAAATCGTCAAAATATGTATTGAGGAAAAACGTGTTATTGATGATTAATATTTTGTAAGTTTGAACCACTTTAATCACGAATTCGAACTATTCTTTACATTAGGTTTCCGATTTTACTCCCTCTTAATTTTTGTTTAAAGAGTCGTTATCTTATTATAGTGTTTTCCTGTTGTAATGACTTAAACAGTGGCTCAATAACATGTGCAGACGACGATATAAGAGAATATCATGTTGATGGGTTGTAAGCTGTACCCGGGCCCATGATGTTATTCTGTATGGATAAATGAAGGATATACTTAACTTTCAATGGATAAAACCTTTATGATGAAGTCATTGGTAGACGTAAAACCAGTATATCCAACCAATTTTAAATGGATCAGTTCTTTGCCTCAATTTAGTCGAATGAACCACATACATGTAGATTTTGTGTACGCCACAAGTTATTTATACGTTTCCCGTAAAGAAATACTGCTAAAAATTAAACAGGAAATCGATCTTTAAATTAATAAAAAAAAACATTTTTTCCGCATAAATCGAAAACCCGCTTATTCTGTCAAACTTGTATCACTCAAATATCCGTTGCAAAGTCGTCCTCAGACAATTCGTAACTTGTAATTTTATCTTGACTCACTTGTACTTGGTTTTTCCAAGTAAGTAACGATCTATATATGGGGTCGTATAATCTGGCTGGTCCCGGATATTGTAGGGAGTGGATCCCCGATTGTCACGTGACCTGTCTCAAACATTGATGTCACACTGTTTTTATGATATTTAATATAAATAAGATAACAGACCGATAGCTTCGGTATGTCAGGTAGGAACTATAGATACGACCACATCGGAAGTGTTTAATGGGCGACGTTGGGCGGGGGACAATGGCTGCCCCAATAAACAGTTAATTACCGTCCAGGACTAACATAGGTATAACACGGTAATGTGTGCCCTGCCTTGTACCACCACATCCACCCGACGGTTAAACAATGGGTATCACCTTCCGGCCGTTATACGGACCTGACACCCTTAGCGCACATACATACTAACGCCATTGTTTTAAATACTACAGGTAATTCAAACCACAAACCGTACAATGATATGTCTTTCATAGGCTTTCCCCTGTAAATTGTTTACTGCTGAAATGAAAAGTTATTCCATTGTTAAATCGAGCTTAAATGTATATTTCGACCCGTGTATCGAAACAAGATCTGGAGTTAAGATCGAATGTGCCGTATCGGTCACTGCTCTGATCAAGAGGGCGTTTACTGGTGGCAACCCTACATGTACATGCAATGAGAGAGAGATGACGTTCTGAAGGAAAGACTGTCGACCTGTGCTATCATAAAGAAGAAAGGTAGGTGACAAATCTTCTTTCACGAGTTTATTTATAAAAATTGATTTGAAAATATGATTTATTAGTTATCAAGTAATCCCAAATTGGTATGTTTTTGCTCAAGAATAAAAAGTGTGGTGCATCATTCGCGCATGTAACAGAAAAAGACCGATATTTCAGTTACTGAAAAGGCGACAATTTTCGATAAACTCAGCTCGAAAATGAAACTTTAGCAACGTAATTATTGACAGAAATAACCGATTTTTTAAATAAAAATTAAATTAAAACATGTTGAAAACTTTGGCATTCTTCAAATGTAAGATCCTTATTTATAAATAATACGGTAAAACGCATAATCTATTTACATGTATATTTATAATTTTGGTATCGCTTTGGTCACTTTTACCCTCTAATTCATTTTACTTGAAAACTGCTGACCATGACCGTCAAATGATCGCCATCTCATTTCCAGGTTTGTCCTGGTTTAAATAGCGATCTCATGGTTAGTAATGAAACTTAGGAAAACTTGACATGTATATAATATATATTGGAGACGCCATCACTTGTGTTGTTACCATATTTTGTTTAAAAAATATATAAAAATATGTTGTATTTTAACACTTCCTTAACACTTAAGATTTTGATACATACACATTTTTATTTGACATTTATCCAAACGATGTAACTTAATCAAAGCGTAGGTAACCCTACACATCGCTCTGTATGTATTTTGGGATTATTTTTAACGACACAAATATGATGGTACAATCGATAAGGCTCACCGTCATTATATTATTTATGGCCGATTATATATATACGAGGACATTTCATAGCTGATCTGTTGATCTGACGCACCGTCAACTTTGTATGTACAGTGGATCACACATTTTGTTTGACGATGGGAAAGAAGACTACACCTATCCATTTTTTTGGCGAAAGTGATGAATTTATCCCGAAGAATATCTATAAATAATACAGGTGGGTCGTACAGGTTCAGTGTGGTTTGTGTTCCGCAATCGATGGGAACATTTTAAAGCATGTATTTTTGAGTCCATTGCTAATATTAACAAATGACATGTATAATGCGCTTGATCCATGTTGAATTATGACCAAAACATGCGAATGTCATGCATTTTAAAATGAATGTTTTATTTTTTCTTAAAGTATATTATATTTCTACTGTAGGATATCGTTTCTCAACAAGTCGTGTGTTCTTCTAAACATCTTTTCCTGCTGCGTTATCGATTTTTTTACTTCTCCAGCATCAGTAGGAGCGTTAGTCACTAGCTTTAGAGTTCAGCAATATAAAAGTTGGAAATCAATAATGGTATACAAATAAAAGGATTTGGAAACAAATTTTCGAAAACTTTTATTAATGCATTTCTTATAGTGTTAAACATTCACAACTTGATAAAGATGAAAATGATGATATAGTTAGGCACATGCATAATTTTAATAAGCTAGAAAACTAATTATATATAAATGTCCCACTGTTAAGAGCAAGCACGTGTAAATCCAAAGTAGCTATTGCTTGATTGCCAACAGTAGATTTGAAAGAGACAAGTCAGTTAGTAAAACGACATGTTATGATACCAGTGATCAATCTACAATTTTAAATGGGTCTTTTCCACTGTATGGTTAAAATATATGGGTCACACCATGTTAAATTTCAGCATTTTCAGAAATTCTATGGGTCAAATCAAAATTTTACGAGTACAGGACCCAGGACCCGCATGTAGATTTATCACTGTGAAACTGGTGTGGTCGATTATGTACTATCTAATATTTTAAAAGTTGGTACAGATTTAGATGTTGCACGGGTATGAGGGGACCTTGCACTGTGGAAGCGTGTCATATGATTTACAAAATCCTATGTTTGGTGCTTTACAGCTCAGTTCATGCGCTGATGTAAACGTTTCAAAGTTATCTCACTGACACATACAATTATATCCTTATATGTACAGTAACAATACCGTGAGCCATTGCAAATTAGTTTTGATCTGCATTTTGAAAACATTAAACATTTCAGCCCGTCTTGACGTCGTCATAGGTTCTCATACAGAATAGTTGAAATGGTTGAAATTGGTTGAGATGAGCATCTGATTATGGTGAACCTGACAATAACTTTGTAACGTTTACATCAGCGCATGAACTGAGCTGTAAAGCACCAAACATAGGATTTTGTAAATCATATGACACGCTTCCACAATGCAAGGTCCCCTCATACCCGTGCAACATCTAAATATGTACCAACTTTTAAAATATTAGATAGTACATAATCGACCACACCAGTTTCACAGTGATAAATCTACATGCGGGTCCTGGGTCCTGTACTCATAGAATTTTGATTTGACCCATAGAATTTCTGAAAATGCTGAAATTGAACATGGTGTGACTCATATCTTTTAACCATACAGTGGAAAAGACCCATACAAACTTATTGATTTAAGTACCAAGTAAGTAAGACTGACAGTGAAAGTGTCTAGTTAGTTAGGCTGACAGTAACGGTATCTAGTTAGTTAGGCTGACAGTAACCATGCCTAGTTAGTTAGGCTGACAGTAACCATACCTAGTTAGTTAGTCTGACAGTAACCATACTTAGTTAATTAGTCCGACAGTAACGGTTCATACTGTAGATAAGTAGGCTGACAATAACCATACTTAGTTAGGCTGACAGTAACGGTATCTAGTTAGTTAGGTTGACAGTAACCATGCCTAGTTAGTTACTCTGACAGTAACCATACCAAGTTACTCTGACAGTAACCATACCTAGTTAGTTAGTCCGACAGTAACCATTCATACTGTAGATAAGTAGGCTGACAATAACCATACTAAGTTAGTCTGGTAGTAACCATACCTAGTTACTCTGACAGTAACCATACCAACTTAGTTAGACTGACAGTAACCATACCTAGGTAGTTAGGTTGACAGTAACTATACTTAGTTAGTAAGGCTAACAGTAACGGTACCTAGTTAGTTATGCTGACAGTAACCACACGTAGTTAGTAAGGGTAACATTAACCATACCTAGATAGTAAGACTGACATTTAAAGTGTCTAGTTAGTTAGGCTGACAGTTACCATTCCTAGTTAGTTAAGCTGACGGTAACCATACCTAGTTAGTTAGGTTGACAGTAACTATACTTAATTAGTAAGGCTAACAGTAACGGTACCTAGTTAGTTAGTCTGGCAGTAACCGTACCTAGTTAGTAATGATGACAGTAACCATACGTAGTTAGTTAGACTGACAGTAACCATAACTAGTAAGTAAGACTGACAGTTACAGTGTCTAGTTAGTTAGGCTGACAGCAACCATACCTAGTTAGTTAGTCTGGCAATAACCGTACCTAGTTAGTTATGATGACAGTAACCATACATAGTTAGTAAGACTGACATTTAAAGTGTCAAGTTAGCTAGGCTATCATTAACTGTTCCTAGTTAGTTAAGCTGGCGGTAACCATACCTAGTATGTTAGGTTGACAGTAACTATACTTAGTTAGTAAGGCTAACAGTAACGGTACCTAGTTAGTTATGCTGACAGTAACCACCCGTAGTTAGTTAGTCTGGCAGTAACCGTACCTAGTTAGTTATGATGACAGTAACCATACGTAGTTAGTTAGGCTGACAGTAACCATACCTAGTTAGTAAGACTGACAGTTAAAGTGTCTAGTTAGTTAGGCTGACAGCAACCATACCTAGTTAGTTAGTCTGGCAGTAACCGTACCTAGTTAGTTATGATGACAGTAACCATACATAGTTAGTAAGACTGACATTTAAAGTGTCAAGTTAGCTAGGCTGACAGTAACCATACCTAGTTAGTTAGGTTGACAGTAACTATACTTAGTTAGTAAGGCTAACAGTAACGGAACCTAGTTAGTTATGCTGACAGTAACCACACGTACCTAGTTAGTTAGGCTGACAGTAACCGTACCTAGTTAGTTATGATGACAGTAACCATACGTAGTTAGTTAGGCTGACAGTAACCATAACTAGTCAGCTAAACTGAGAACATGAATTACCAGAACCCATTAGATATTTATTTTAATTTTGATGCTAGCAATTAATTATTACATGTGAACTTTCTATAGTTGATGTCATCAAATAAGACAGACTTTCATGGATTAATTGATCTTGTCAGAATTAATTGATCAATTCAGCGATCATTTTGATGGTAGCGGTCTATTTTGCAGCCTAATTGATAACAAACGTTTAGTTTACAGAACCATTTAATTGCTGGCTTCATGGATCAGCTACCTTACGAATTCCAGTCATCACATCGCGAGTACAGTTCGGTACAGGACGCGTATATCGAACTACTCCTAGAACGGTTTACATAAATCCTGCAGGATTAGGAATGTAATTGTTTAGGAATCAAATAAACTCGCAGTAAAAACGGTAAACTGGCGATTAGGGTATGGATGCTTGCGGCACTGACACGTGTTGGTAGGGACAGGGGCCGGTGACGTAACACTTACACGTTAATGTATGGGGGTGGTAGCACGGACAAGGGAGGGACTGTTTTATCAGTTTGGTGATTCATGGCAGTGGACGTGAATTTAAATGTGATGGGTGAGATATTGATCTATTCGTGATTTACAGGTACAGAATGGGTTACGCATTAGCACGTCAGAAACGTCAACACGTGACTATATTAGTTACAGAAAAGGGACATTTGTGACCAAGTTACATGAGTTAAAGGGGAGAGGTTGGAGACCCTTCATAGGTGACTACAATGGTAACAAGTTGGGGACGTGTGGATCTACAAGGGTTACACGGGTTATGTGGTTACCTAAATGTAGCTAAACTGGACCTGCATGGGACAGACAGATATGGCATGTTCATACTAAATTACATGTATTAGGACGATGCTTTGAACTTCAGCATAGTTGTTCCAGACATTAGTTGTATCATACGTAGGTATGTATGGGAGAGGTAGACAGGACGTGCTGACACATTTTATTTGGCATCTAACCTGGTTTTTATGTGGTGACTGGAATTCCATTCATAATAAACCAGGATTAAAACATTCCTACATAGTATAGCATCATATATAGTAGTCATAATAAAGTTTGTGATGGGGGTCGGGGTATGTGGGTCGTAGTGGAGTGGGTACGGGCATGTGGGTGAGCTTTCGGTAGAAACATCAGAGGCCGGGCTAGTCTAGGACCGCGACTAGGTTGTTATTATACCCCCCCCCCCCCCCCCCCCCCCCCCCCNCAATAAATCATTATTCATGGTCAACATAAAATGTGATATGAATCACCATGCTTCATTACACCTGGACACACGTTCTCTGTGACTTACCTGTGCAGGGGTTCTCCTACATGTGTAGCCGATACATACTTTATCAACTATCGGGGGGATCTAAGGAACGTTACAGTGAGTATGTGCACATTTTAGACCCTTTCTATAGATATGTACTCTTATTACATTTTAACCACTAAGATGAGAGAAGTTTTATCAGAAATATCTTCCTGCAGTGATGATACAAAGTTGTCAGACGCCGCAATACAAACGGTGACGTCATTATGATCGTGACGTAAAATGAAATGTCCCATCGACACAATGTACTCGTAATTCCTTTGTGGGAAACGTGAGAAACAGAAGATTCAATGGTTTAACATAAATTATGTAAAGTTTAGAGTAGTTATCTGTAGACATTATGTATGTAGATTATACATGATATAAATTACAGATTCAGCATAAAGCGGCTGTCACAGTGTGTGGAGGACATTCAATGGCGTCCAATTGAGATGATATATATTTCATGAAGACAGATTTTTTCTGATAAAACTCACATCGTATAGTATTCTCCTGTGGTTTGAGGGTTTGTTTGAGATGATTAATATGGGTCCCTCTCTCTTTCGGGTAGAGAGTGGGATGGGGAATGCAGCGGGGTTGGGAGGAGAGGGAGGGCATGGTGGAGGTAGTTGGGGGTAAGGATATTTACTTTTTGTTTGTTTGATTGTTTTTGTTTTGTTTTGCCATATTAACGAATGCTTTCGCTACCGGATACAAATCTCAGAAACATATCCTGAAAGTCGGGACATTATCTATTTTTGTTTGACCAATTTTCTTGTTAGATTGATGTGACATTTTGTTCCTTATTATCCAGTTTATAAAATCAAAATTATATGTTTTACCGTCCGCTTTCCTCATTGATAGAAACAGGAATGGCTGAAACCCACCGATGTTTCTGAGCAATTTATTGCCTTACACTTTGACTACAATTCACGTTTATAACATATACTCAGAATTTCGGCCAAACATCGAATACATACCATATTTAGTCCTAAAGATCCTTTGGTGTTATAACACACAACGCTTACATACTTGGTCACGCGCCAGGCACTTGACTGGGGAATGCTCACGAGCTCACGTGCTCTTAGTATATTAGTGTCTGAAATCATTCTAATATATGACATTGTGTTTCATTTACGAGGTTGAACGAGATTCGAGACGTTTCTCTCACTTGAAGGGTATTATAAATAAAATTTCCAATTTACCATTAGATAAGAAATTGATCCAAGTGTCGTAAAATGAAGATAATAGCAGTTTAGATGGTTAAAGGTATACCTTCAGGTGGATTATTATGAAGTCATTTTGTGTTTTACAGTTACGAGAGGACAGAAGGAGGATTAAGTAAGTGACCAAGGTAAGTCACACCAGGTGCTCGACAGATACTTGACATTGGATTACAGCAACTGTATATTATTTATAATAATTGGAGGATCTTATATACCTATTTATCACAACCTAGTTTGTAGATTGTCTCAAAGCGGTTCACAAATTATTATCCCAGGTTATAGGGCCTTTGCAACCAGCCAATACATTTCTCAACTCCATGGGAGCATACAGCCGGAGCTGCCATTTCGGCGCTAACAGCTAGCATTCAGCAATTCCAGCACTGCCCAATCACGTACTCATTTACAGCTGAGTAGACTGGAACAATCGGAGTAAAGTGTCTTGCTCAAAGATACAACACATTGCCGTGCCGTGGCGCGAACCCGCAACCCTTCGGTCACGAGCCCGGTGTCCTACCACTGGACTACCGTGCCTCCTAATTGTCACACTAATTGTGTATCGAATTGCTATATATATACACACTTTTATAATTAGGAATGTCAAATTTGTAGTTTCTCTGTTTGTATGAGTCACATGAACCTGAAAACTATTTACATGCTGTATGTTTGGAGCTATCCTGATGCGTAGGGAATCTTATAAGAAGTTTTAGGGGTTAAGATCACTAATCGATAAAGTGCACCCCACCTATCAAGTTTTAGGGGTTAAGATCAACAATCGATAAAGTGCACTCCCACCAAATTGTAAGGGGTTAAGATCAGCAATCGATAAGGTGCACCCTCTTACACTTCAAGTTTAGGAGTTAAGATCAACAATCTATAAAGTGCACCCCTTCCCACCAAGGTCTAGGGATTCAGATAACCAATCAATAGATTGCACTCCCTCTCAATGAGGCCCCATGTCAATATCACGGTCACACAATAAAAGTCCGAAAATGTAAATGGTGGTTTATACAATGTATGTTTACCAAAGAGCTGTCAGTCAGTAATGTAAATATATAATTACAACTGAAAATCAATGATAGTGTTTATAGCTAAAATTAATAGTATGTGCATGTTTCAGTTTCTTGAAGAGATGTTATAAAGAATGTATATACTATATACTGTAGAACCCAATTAAAATCGTATACTATCGTTTCATAATATGGTATCAAGAATTAGATAAACTCTTTCACCTCACCTTTAGGCCTGCGAAATTCTTTGCAAATACCCGAAATGCGCATGACAACGCGTGGTTTTGACGTTACGGTGTGAAATGACGTCGAGGATATTGACCTCGACATGTGTCTTTGTGATTTGATAACCGACGTTGTAGTCTCGCAAAAACAGTCATTTGCAATTCATTTTATAATTTGATATATGTTTCAGTGCAGCCGCAAATGCCAACCTCAAGCCAAGCGTTAATCCTGTTGACCACTGATGGCCGGACACCGGCGCAACAGGTCATTCACCGGACTTTCCCACTGTGTTCCGTGCCCTATCCTCTGACCAGTCATGACATTAATGCCAAGTGTGTCCAGCTTGATGACCAGAGCGATGACGTGATGGGGGACATGTCCGTATCTCGGCAAACTCGCATCAAATTTGGTGACGTTCTTAGCAGTCTACCTGACTTGTTAACCATCAAGGGCTACCAGGGGGCGCTAGCTTACGATGCCCATTCGAAGGTCATGAAATGGAAAATTGACACAGAAGTTCCTAGTAGTCGGATGGAGGCTTTTATTACCTATCGCGGGGATCCGGCATTCAAACCCGACTACTTCCGGGACGAGAAGGTCAGACTTCCGTCTATATATGACAATGAAGACGAAGTAGATGGCGACAACAAGCTTGATGGAACCCAGACGTGTCGCTACACGAGGAACGTGTGGCGACCACCCAGTGAACAAATCGACAAAATGCCGGTTTCTTTCCCGTCCTTGATAAAAACTGCGATCGACCAAGAGACGTACGAACGACTCTGTAATCTCGGTTTTAGACCAGAAGGAAACGGAAAATCAAATCCCACGATGAAAAACGGGGTCCAAAGTAAACCGAACGGGAAACATGAAACATTACAGGCATGGGCAAGTCCCGAGGACTACCAAGAAAACGATTTCCGTTTGGAGGATTTGAATCTTCGTCCAAATGGCAAAAACGCATATCACCTAAAAATGTCACAGTTGCGGAGAGACGGAGGCACACTTCCGTTTCCAGACACAATGCAGCCAGTGACGCTCCCTGGGCATGCGCGATCAGTTACATTTTCTGACCAAGCGCATGACGGAGTTGCAGTCGGAAAAACAGTATATATTCCCAGTCAGGAAGCATCCGAGACTTGTATGCAAAGTACGGAAGTATCTGGGACGTACAATGGACACGGTTCAAGTTCTATGAAGGATTACATGTCTGAAAGAAACAAATTCTTTTCCAAGTATGGAAAATACACAACTGATGTCGTAGCTGAAGAATCGGATGACGTCATTATTGAATCGTCAAATGACCGCAGACTTCCGGCTATTGAAACAGGATATAAAAAGTAAGTACATTTCATGACACCCTGAACATCAATGCATGGGTCTTTCGTATATAGAAAATACATTTAATAACGCGAGGAAGATCAAATCCTCCTTCAAATGTAAGATCAGTATTAATATTGTATGTAGGCCAATTCTATTGATTTTATATATACGTGTTTTTTTGAATTCTGTTTGTTTCATTTTGCCTTTGCTTTAATTTATTTTCATATTTATTAAATACGAGCAGGTACCCGACTTTTTTTTTCATCATGTACAAACAATTAAAGACCAATATCTACCACTTTAACATTCTCTCACGAGGACACCATTTTAACGATAAACGACTTTGCTGTCAGTTACAATATCCCTATCTTAGTTTGTGTATATATATGTCGCAGGGAACAGTCATCGACGTCAGACATTTCAACGATCACACCGGAACCGGAAGTGCAGCCATTCAAATCAAAGAGACTTTCTCTGATGGACAATGTCAAATCAATGGCAAACTATAACAAGTGGAAGAAGCAGAAGTTGACTCGTCTTCGTCTCAGAAAAGAAGTGCCGGTCCCACAACCGCTTTCTGTCTGCTTTAGTTTCCGTGATAACGCTAAGAGTCATTCACAAGTGAAAGATATCGTTGAGAAACAGATAGGAAGTTCCATAACGAGGCTCCAGTTTGACCCCATCTCTGTGCACGCGTTGGACAATCATGCAAAAAGTCGCTGGGTCGTGACCTTGGCCGACAAAGAAACTCGTGACTATTTGCTCTCGAATGGATTGTTTGTTGACGGTGAGAAAACGGAGGTGAGAAATCTAGATGAGCTGATGAGGGAGGAGGTAGAGGCGTATAAGCTATATGAAATGGTGCAGAAGGGACAGATTTCTATGCCCACTGTTAGTATTCGACGCGTCAAGGTCAGACAGTGCGCGCGAATTACATGACCTCCAAATGTCAAAGCAAGGTCACAATTAATTCACTGACGTCTTTTTCACGTCACGCCTCGATCACAACGATGCATATTTGATGCAACTATAAATATATATGGCATTACATTGTACTGCAAAGACTTCAAATCAGGAACTGGCGTTTATTGAGTTCGTTAGTTATTCAATGGAACTGCCTTAGATATTTTCTTTTAAGCTGACTGTCCATGAAGGAATATTATTTTCAAATTGCTAGCTAAGAGAACTTTTGCAGATAATAGAGCACAGCTTAGCATGCTATGTCAGTGTTAATTATTTAATCTTCCGTTTGTTAATTAACTGCATACAATTATTTATTTATAACGGTTTTGAACAGATCGATGACATATTAAATATATGTATATATTTTTTATTCATATGAATGTTACCGGCTCCATGCTATGCCACAAAATTGCCGATATTGCACAAACACGTTCATGTAAAATTTGATTTTATATATTGTGCGATGTGCGTATGAGTACCTACTAACTGCTTATCAGAGAGGGGGGATAACTTTATTACTTGGGCTATCTAAACGTAATTCAGGTAAGTTTTTTCTAATGCATCGCCCGCCCCACCAAAATTCATAACGGACATGAGCTACACATCCAACTTAAGTTTATACACATTATCTGAAAACAAATAAGTTTTGAATGAAATATGTAGTAGCCTTGCTCAAGTTTGCGCTTTTTATCGGGGACGGGCACCAATTGATTTTAACACATGGCTTTTAGGCTTTCGCTGTATTTAGTTTAAAAACATGTTTTACTCTAGTTTGAAAAAAGATTATAATATTATAATTTATGTTTGTATTGTTCTTTTTTTTTTAAACATTTGCCTTTGACAAACATGAATGAAAATTGCTATATTTGTATGAACATTTACTACGCAAATAGATTGTGTTATAGATAATTACTGTCTTTATGGTTATAAATATTGCGGATTGCACTCTTTTCCTCTCTTGTGAAATACTTGGTGGTCCTTTATATGTATTTACACTTTACTATAAACATATTTATTGCCAATAAAATTGAACAAGGGATTGGGCACAAGTTATTACAACTTATCACAGCCTTCTCCCGTCATACATTTACAATTACATGAGCCTTTATTTAATTTGCAATAAGCACCAATGCCTTTGAGCTTTACACACATTTAAATATGACAATGACATGATGGTTATAATAAATACATATTTGCTCTCAAATATTGAAGGCACTTACATGCATTTTATAGCAGCAAAATAACACACATTCAAAAGGAACATATTCATTCACAATAGTAAGCATGAACACAGGATGCAATAGACTTTAACAAAGAAATAATGCGAAGCGAAGGATGAAAGAAATTAATTTGAGTTACACATTAAACAAAATTCCATGTCTAATATCAATAGCTTTGTAAATAAACATAGCTAAATTTCTAATAATAAAATTGTTTCCTGAAGAAACAAGTTCAACAAAATTGTCCATATTTGGTCTGCAGTAATACTTCTTTTTACATGTCAACAATGATAATAGGCATAAACATGAAGTAGATATATATACACAACTTTAAAAAAGCACCGTTCATAATATTTTGCTGGATTTGTAAAGTGATGCACATGTCTAAAAACGTATTTACAGCAAACAAACATAATATTTTTGTAGGTTTGTTCCAAAATATTCATCTGGCTACAGAAAATCTGTATAAGAAATTTGTAGGTTTGTTCCAAAATAAAGATGATTATGACCCTAATGAGATTCATATGGATGCAGAAATGTTATGTAAGAATGCGTTAAGGACACCGTATCCTCTGAAAGGAAACACTTGTTTACTGCTATATGATATTAACAATTTCTGGGGCAAATATTTAATTCAAATAAAAAGAGTTTGTAAAGAGTTACATGGGCGGGATATGCGGAAGGAAGGACAGGGACGGATTTGAAGTTGTTGAACGAAATAGTAATACTAAGTCTTAAGCTAAGTCCGTGGTTATGGGACCTTTGCAACCAGCCAATATCTTTCTCAACTCCCTGGGGAGCATACAGCCGGTGCTGCCATTTCGGCGCTCACAGCTAGCCTTCTACAATTCTAGCACTGCCCAACCACGTACTCATTTACAGCTGAGTAGACTGGAATAAAGTATCTTGCCCAAAGATACAACACAGTGCCGTGTCGTGACTCGAACCCCCAACCCTTCGGTCACGAGCCCGGCGTCTTACCACTAGACTACCGTGCCTCCAAAGGAAAGGATATTCGGAATGGAAAAGGAAACAAGTGACAGCGAAAAAGTCAAACTTTTCATCATTAGTCTATAATAATGTATTTACAGTCTAAACTGACATCCCCTCAATAACAATTGTTCCTGCAATCTAGAGTTATCATCTCATAACCTGACTAAGATAGAACACTATTCCTTAACTACATCGCTTTACCACAGAAAAGCAAGATACACGAAGCTACATAATGACAAGGAAAATTAGGTCTGGTGAGCTATTATTGCGACAAACATATCAGTGCTGACTAATACTCTCTCATTTTAACATTAAGAAATGAATATCTAGAAAGAAGATTGGTTAAAGTTGAGTTTTAACCACATTAAACATAAACATATACATTTAATTGAAATATTATTGCAAAGGAAGTACCAAATGCCGGGTTTTCATGTGATTATGTATCCCATTCCTACTAAACAGACATCTTAGGTAAAGATGGACTATTTAAGACTATAATTTATTGATAACGAAGGCAGACAACTCCGATAGTATTGCGATCCTTTTTCTTAATTATTTATATACAGGTATTTATTAAATACTAAACTTATATCTTTTTTCGAAACAACATATGACCATGAAATAGAGATAAGTGAGAAGTAGATTTAATCATATATTTTTTTATAAGCGATTTTTATTGTGTTGTCATCTTATGAGACTGATGGAAGGGAGGTAACTCTGTTAGAATTCAACGGCATAGAAATTTGGTTAGCATCACAAGGAAATCTGTACTCAAAAAGGAAAAAATCCGGCATTGGATTCAGTAAATAAAAATAATACATCGATGTACAGAATGCTTAACATTTCAGTTAGTCATAGGAGTATTGGATGCCATACAACAGGAGAATACCGTAATAGCTGGTTAGTTTTTGACAAAAAATAGAAAATCAAACTTACACGGATTATAATTTCGCTTCCTAACATTGGAATGCGGTGTTTTATCACAGAGATGGGACACTCGGCAGATAAAGTGTCAAATAATCAAATGAACGGGCTCTATGACAACATATTGAGCAAGAACAATTTAGTGTATGTTGTTAAACAAATCTATAACCACGTGCAAGCTGTTTCATGACGAAAACTATTGTTATGAAGTTTATCATCGCGGTAATTTTTTCGCTGTCTTATTATTCTGGGGATCATATTTTCGCAATAACGTTATTAACCCGCAACACCGCGAAAATATCACCCGCGGAAATATCCTACGAATGAACATGTTAAAAAACAACATAAATGAAAACGGAAGAATAAGTATTTTCAACTAAAATAAATATATAACAGTATGATTCAATACATTCTTAGGAAATACAACTATGAGATAGAAATCATGAGATAAAGATGATATGTATATAGTTTGCTTTATATAGCGATATCAGTGCATGTTCTTATTGTTGATGTTTTGTGTTTGTGTGAAAAATTCTTGAATGGAAAAGCATTATATTTGATGCCCAATTAAGTATTAAAAAAGTAGATGTGAATGAGATTTAATGAGTAAGGGAGAGAACAATTCAAAACTCTACAATGGAAATTGTAATCCATTCTTTTTGACCAAGCGTTTATCCTCCCTTGTGTCTCTGTTTAATATTTTTGCACTTATTCTATTTATAACGGTACCCACACCATTAACACTACTATCCATAACAATACAAATCAAAAGGGAACATAACAAGAAACTCGTGGATCACCTGCGTTAGCTTAAGACCAGCTTAACAATATATATTCATTAACAACTAATCTTTGTTAACGGCCTTTTAGAACAAAATCCATGCTATGACAACAAATTTCTACGACTTGAAGAAAGTTTTTTTTAAAGAAAAACGTCAATAACTAGTTTGTCGAAAATGTTACTTATGTCTTAATATACACATTCTCGATATCCAGGGGTTACGCTCACTTTCGCTCTCAACACCCTTGGAATATGTCATTGCAAAATCGAAGGCTCATTGTGCAGTACCTTGTGGACGAGTCGAAAAGACTAGTCTGAACCTTTGATGTACATCAAAAGAATCTCGCGGTCGCGTAACGGTAAAACCAATCAAATTGAAGCCGCGTGCCTTCACAATTGTTATGACATGTTCCAAGGGTGTAGAGAGCGAAAGTGAGCGTAACCCTTGGATATCGAGGATGTAATATACAATCCTAAGATAATAAAATACCAACCTTATTGTTTTATAAAGTACCAACCTTATTTTGTCAGAATTGTCAGCCTTACTGTGCCATAAAAACCCGATATGCCATAAGAAATCTTTCTCATTATGTCATAAGATGTTAATTTTATTATGCAATAAAATATCATCTGTTTAATGTAATAAAATGCCATCTTTATTATGTAATAGAATATCACCCTTATTATGTCATAATATCAGTTTTATTATGTCATAAAAATGTACGTTTTATGTCACAAAATACAATCCTTTTTTGTGTGTAAAAAAACCCATCAGTTTTATGTCATCAAATACTTTATCACATAACTGATCCATTTTACTATGTCATACGGCCATGTCATAAATGGTCAAAACCGTGGGAACATATTCCTACGCCACTTTAGGGAGGTGAGATTTCGTAAGTCTATTGGCTACCAATGTCTGGGACTTGTGAGCCCAAGGCAGGTCTATTTCAGAAACTTGAACCGAAGTCTGTACTCGCAACTGTCCTCCTTACCTCAGGAAAGGAGACATTTCGGGTGTAATTTGACCCGCAATATCTCTCTTTCACCACTCCAGACAAGAAAATCTCGAGACGATGCAGCATGCAGCATGCTTTCCGTCACATTTAACACAGTGCAGGTTTACAATATCACAGTTGCACTGGTTATCATGACCTTCGAGGCCACAATACTGGCAAACGGTCTTTCGTCTACATCATATTTCATAATGACCGGACTTCAATCAGTTCCGGCATCTTAATGTATTCTGAATGTAGACGGAGACGCCGCACGTTTGGTACCCAGCGATCACAGCCGAAGGTAATGAAGGGGTTGCAAAGGTTAGAACAAACGTGTCTGTTGGAACCAACTGGTTGTTTTTCTTGTAAAAAACCCGTCGCACCTTAGAGACTGGGACCGATTTTTAGACACCGCACGGGTCGCCGGGAGATTTTAGCGCGGAGATAAAAGTTGCCGATGTCCTCCCCCGCCCCCGCCCCGGTGCAATTGTACAATTTTACATTCTCCCAGGTGTCCTGTAGACCGCCCGAAGTCCGGACGGGTGCCGTGCGGCAATCGTAAGGTAGTCGCACGATGTCCTCAAACTTTGCGGCCTCCGTGGGATATTCGGCCAGCCCCCGCCCGATATCCGGACATGCATCGGTCTATTTAATCCGGCAAATTGTTTGCGGGGGCCGTGCGGTGCCCGTAATAATGTGACCATACTCACGGCAAATTCCAGATATTTGAAAAATGTCCCCGGCGCCCCGAAAGCCGGCCAATTCCTACTCCCCGGTCGGCGACGGACGCAGATGTGACTGAAGCATAACAGGAGAGGCCACAGTGATGTTGTTGTTTGCCACTATTTGTTGATAACATAACACGATTATTCTGCTGAAATGTGTTAGCAATGGTACTCTTTTCTGCGTTATATTCATTACCCGTGTGTGTTTTTACTTTATATTCGCTATATGAGCCCAACAAAGGGACACTGAAATGAGCGAGGATATCAAGTGTCAGGGATATACACAAAATAGTATACTCGAAAGAGTTCTCTCGCGATTGAACCGTTGCCAC